TATATACCCAAAGACTTGAACACAATGAATCATAGAGACACCTGCACACCATGTTCACAGCTGCACTGTTCACAATAGCCAAAATTTGGAACCAACCAAGGTGTCCATCATCAGATGAATGGATAAAGAAAATGTGGTATATATACACAATGGAATATTATTCAGCTATAAAAAAAGGATTAAATTCAATCATTTGCAGCAAATGGAAGCAACTGGAGGATATCATGCTAAGTGAGATAAGCCAGTGTGGGGAGCAACTGAGACTAGACTAAATTACTGGAACTAGGCCTAATTCTATGCATCTGATCTCCCACAATATGGCGCTGAGAGAGAGACCAAACAACTTCTAGGCAGCTGCCTCGCCAATTCGACTGATAAACTGCAGGAGCTGATCCTGCTCCTGATTGGAGGAGAGCAGCGTGCTCAGCATGTGGGCAGCAGGGTTGGGATTGGTGGAAGAGGACTATAAAGGAGGAGAGAGACAACATGCACCAGGAACATCTGAGGGAAACATCTGAGCAGCCCCCGGGAGCGCCCGCCGGCGGTGTGCCGCTCCTCCGCGGAAGCGGGGAAAGTGGCAGGGGGTGCTGCCCTTCCGCAGAGGCGAGGGACCGGCAGCAAACCCAGGAAGGGCCAGGCAAGAGAACAGTGCAGGGTCTAGTGTCATTCCTCCGCGAATGGGGGAGCAACAAGCCAGACCCAGAAAGACAAATGCCACATGTTCTCCCTTATATGTGGGAGCTAGAATTCAAAAAACAAACAAACAAAAAATGTCTGTGTGTATCAGTATTACTGCAAATACAATTTTGTAAAATTTTGTTTTACAGCTTCGTCAAACCATTGGTTAAGAATCTTTGGGTCGGGAGTGCAGTGGAGGATGGCCAAATCCTTGGGCCCTGCACCCAGCGCCCTTGGTGTGCCGGGCACTGTGTTAAGATGATAAAGTTAAATATGGCACAGATCCTTTCTCTCTGGAGTGAGAATGTAAATGGGGGGGGGGGGGGGTGGGGAGGGGAGCAGGATCAGACACAATTATCTACCTGGTGTCTCACAGCAGACTAGAGATGGTGTGCTCACAATGGGTAGTAGAAGAGAAGGTATTCATGGTGTGCCTAATGGTCAGGGGAATACAGGAAGAGAAGGTGAAGAAGCCCAGCCTCCCCCTACCACCTAGGCTGCAGGGAAAAGGGAAGGGGCGCCTCCTGAACCTGATGAGAGCTGCACTTACAGGCCAGTGCCACTGAGCGGGAGCCATGACTGCTCTCTGGAGATAGCCAGGGGAGTAAGATATCCAGCCACTCTTTGCCCTTCCCTGCACTTCCTTGCTGCCACCTCCCCTTGCTGAGCACAGCCAGCAATCAGAGAATGGAACAGATGTAGCGTGTAGAGGTGTGCAGGGCCACCCCCAAAGCCAAGAGCAGGGTAAGTGCACTTCATTTGTCCTTACATTCACTGCTGGCAGCTTGCACCTCCCAAATTGTTAGCATCCTAATCTTTGCCTCAGCTCTGTGCTTCAGAAGCCTCAGGGCCTACTCCATGCAGAAGGAACTAATGCTTAACTCCTTCGTGGCAATCAAAGCAAAAACGGTAGCAAACTACTAAGTGTTGTGTAAGCAGTCCAGTGTAGGCCAAGTTTTTCTCCTTATGACTATTGATGGCACTTTTCGGGAAACGTCAACTGTCTTGAGACCATCTTTTGTTTTTTCTCTAGAGAGGAGTGTGCGAGTGCTCAGTGAGCTATCTGGCTTGATTCCGCACTGACACTGCAGAGGTGACACAGGAAATCCAGGAGCAAAAAGCTGCAAATATAGCTGGAGAGGGCTTTGTAAATCCTTTCTGTGGAGCAGAAGAGATGAAACCTATAACTGGGGTCAGCACTGTGGCACAGTGGGTTAAAGTCCTGGCTGCAGTGCTGGCATCCCATATGGACACCTGTTCGAGTCCCAGCTGCTCCACTTCTGATCCAGCTCCCTGCTAATGCACCTGGGAAAGCAGTAGAAGATGGCCCAAGTTCTTTGGACCCTGCATTGGCATGGGTGACCCAGAAGAAACCCCTGGCTCCTGGCTTCGGATCGGCTCAGCTCTGGCCATTGTGGCCATTTAGGGAGTGAACCAGTGGATGGAAGACCTCTCTCTGCCTCTGCCTCTCTCTAACTATTTCAAATAAATAAATAAAATAAACCTTAGAGGCCGGCGCCGCGGCTCACTAGGCTAATCCTCCGCCTCGCGGCGCTGGCACACCGGGTTCTAGTCCCGGTCGGGGTGCCGGATTCTGTCCCGGTTGCCCCTCTTCCAGGCCAGCTCTCTGCTGTGGCCAGGGAGTACCGTGGAGGATGGCCCAGGTCCTTGGGCCCTGCACCCCATGGGAGACCAGGAGAAGTACCTGGCTCCTGCCATCGGATCAGCGTGGTGCGCCGGCCGCAGCGCGCCAGCCGCGGCAGCCATTGGAGGGTGAACCAATGGCAAAGGAAGACCTTTCTCTCTGTCTCTCTCTCTCTCACTGTCCACTCTGCCTGTCAAAAACAAAACAAAACAAAACAAACAAAACAAAACAAAACAAACAAACAAAAACAAAAAAAAAAACACCTTAGGAAAAAAAAAAGAACCCAATAGCCTCTCTGGTCTTTCTAGTGATCTGTGTGTTAAAAAGGAAAAACATTGGAGCAGGTGTTTGGTGCAGTGAAATACGTCATCACATGAGACCCAGGTTGCTGCATCTCAAGATGCCTGGCTTGAATCTTGTGGACTCCACTTTGGATCCAGCATTTCTATTAATGTGCACCCTGGGAGGCAACAGATGATGGCTCAAGTACTTGGGTCTCTGCCACCCATATGGGAGGCTTGGATTGAGTTCTAGGATCCTGACTTCAGCCTGGCTGTTGTGGGCATTTGAGGTGAACCAGCAGACGGAAGATCTTTTTGACCCTCTGTGTGTTGCTGTGTCTCTGGCTTTCAAACAAAATGAAAAATAACTAAAAATATAAAAAAGAAAGAAAATGTTGAGAATTCTTTCACAATGGGAAATGTCAGCAGTGAAGTCAACAGCAAAGTTCTACTGTGATAATGTTTAGTAAACAGCTATGCACAAAACCAACGGAAGACAGCCACGCATTGCATAATATTGTATGCTGAATGTGTTACAGGAAACACCCAGAATCTCAACCTGAAACGGAAAAACGGAGTGAGGGAAAGTACACACTCAGCTCCAAATGTGGATGGAACTTTATTTAAATCAGATCCAGGTGATAACACCCTTCAAAGAGCAAGTACTGTCTTCCAAATGCACACCCTGAAGCCTGTATACGAGCGGCAGTGGAAGATTCACAACTTAGTGGGAACCAGACTTTATCATGCAGATAGATCACTAGACAGAAAGCAGTCGGTTATCCTAATGGTAAAGAATTGAATGAAACATCAGAAAACTCAACATACAATTGGATTCTTTAAAAAATAAAATAAAATAAAAGACATCCTTTGGATTAAACTTCCTCAATTTCCTGGATGATGGAAAAGAGTCTGGGTTTTTAAGTTCTTCTAATAGGACATTGTTGCAGGATATTTGCTTTGAAGACTGGAAGATCCCTTTCTGAGAGAAGGCCAGAGCAGTGGGAGCTGCTTAGGCGGCTCCCTGCAGGAGGCAGCACGTCCTGGCGTGCAGAAGTGCTAGAGCCAGAATACCAAGTTCAGATCCCAGCACCTCCACCTACTAACTTGTCCTCTTGTACACCAGTTATTTTGTCATACAGAAGGGACACTAATTATATCAACCACAGAGATGTGAAGCTCTTATAATGAAAACAAAGTGAGTGTTCCATTTGTACTTATTACCTGACCAAAAAGTGTGTGTGTGTGTGTGTGTGTTTAGAAAAAGAACAAGATATCTTGTTCATCATTTTTGGAGAGAGATTGGGACAAAGATAACCTTTGCTATTATAATTTTCTTCTGAAGTGGAAAACCATTTAAAAGTAAAATCTGACATGTCATACATTCCCGATAGTAGGCTCAACTCTTGGCATTTCCTTTGTTCAGAGAGAATATTTGAAAGCTTCTAAGGGACAAAACATGAATTGGAAGGATTTAATAAGGGGATGAAACTACTGTAGTGGGGATTAAAGTTACTATAAAATGATACATGATTAGCATCTAAAATATTTATTTGTTGAAACTGGAAGCAGCCTATACTCCAAAGTCCAATAATGCCCACAAGAAAAGAAAAATGTCCAGAAACTATGGCAGGGCAAATGTGCCCAACAGAGCAGGTTAAAAGGACCGAGGAAGCAAGGCCCAAGTTAGGGGCCCGGTTACAGTTTAGACATCAAAATATTGCAGAGTGAAAAACTCATTTCTGAGTCAGGGGTAGGAACTCAGAAGTGGTTTCTTTATTCCTGCTTCTGCCAAAGACTTAGGGACCACATATCTCCCTGCTGGGTTACCAGCAACTTGAATCAGGCAAGAAAATGTATTAGGCACCCAATGTATACCAAGCTCTGTTGTTCAAGATAATCTTATTCCATTTATTACCAAACTCCCCCAGGCTCTGCTTCTGGCCACTTTCCTTGTGATGGAGGAGGGGGAGAATATGGGTCTCTAACTTTCCACCATCAGAGCCTTTTGTTTTTCCAATTGCACTAGGATTTCACTTTCAGCAGTAGAGATTAAGAGGAAAAGAAACAAAACACTGAAAGAGCACCCAAGCGATGGCAATGAGAACAGTCCCAGTGGATGGTCAGGAGCCCCAATGCAGGACACACGTGACCTCAGGGCACCCGGACGCCGCGATGACAGGAAAAGGAGACACACACTGCCGCAGCCAAATCACACAGATCCTCAGGACTTTCGTCTTCCACAAAAGAACAACGCTCCAGAAATGACAGAGTAGCAGCATCTTTTTTCTTAGAGAAATCCCTTCTGGAGACGAAACCTTCTAGAACGTGTTTCTACGGCCGGTGTTGGAGCAGCGCTAACCAAGTCTCCCAAAGTGCACCTTTTGAGTGTGGCTCTAAGATCTCCTTCCCGCGGGTTTCGTGATTCCTTTTGCCTTCAGCTCCTCTTTGACACGTTTCAAATAATCAGGATCAGGGTAGCCATAGCTGCAGAAGGAAAAATCCCTTTAGTTTCATCACAAATGGTTCTTAAGAATCTGTACAGGGCCGGCGCCGTGGCTCAATAGGCTAATCCTCCACCTTGCGGCGCCGGCACACCGGGTTCTAGTCCCGGTCAGGGCGCCGGATTCTGTCCCGGTTGCCCCTCTTCCAGGCCAGCTCTCTGCTATGGCCAGGGAGTGCAGTGGAGGATGGCCCAGGTGCTTGGGCCCTGCACCCCATGGGAGACCAGGAAAAGCACCTGGATCCTGGCTCCTGCCATCGGATCAGCGTGGTGCGCCGGCTGCAGCGGCGGCCATTGGAGGGTGAACCAACGGCAAAGGAAGACCTTTCTCTCTGTCTCTCTCTCTCACTGTCCACTCTGCCTGTCAAAAAAAAAAAAAAATCTGTACAGTAGGCCTTTGGCATCTGAGGACTTAATACTCAGGACTGCCAACATTCACAGGCAATCTTGAAGGCAGTTGACTGACTTACAACCACTCTTGTGTGTGCAGATGTGGGACATCCAGCTCTTGGCTGAGTCCAGGCACCTGACCAGCATCTGCCTTTTAACCAGCCTCTTTTTTATTTTCAGTTTATTGTGAGCATGGGGAAGGGGGTGTCCATAATCATTTGCTAATAATATTTACAAATGTAGGAATTTGAAAAGGCCTTAGAATGTATTTTTTAATGCTAGGATCTGAGATATATGAGTTACAACCAAGACTTTTTCTATTAATGCCATTGGCCAAGAGGGTTCAGCTTCTCTGTGGATTAATGGGGGACAAGGAGGAGGGAGAAAGTGACCTTAAAAGAAAGCAAAACAAATAGCATTTGAAGGATTTAGCCTTCAAATCGACAAGAAGCCCCAAATCACATCATCTTAGACACTATTCACCTTGGGTTCTGAAGCCTTCCGCCCCTTGACGCAAAATTTAAGAACTGCAGACTGCTTTGTGGCTGGCAGGGTAGAGGGCTTTGGACACCAACCTTCCTGTCTTTGAGGCTAGCCTCCCAGATTAGCATCTCACAAAATATTCTACAGTCCCCAACACGACCACTATAAAGTCTCCTTGCAGCCACAGCCCCGAATTTCTGGATCGCACAATCTCTAAACTCTTGTTTAGCAACCATTATACTACTGAAAGGCTCTCACTTTTCTGGTCCTCCATGACGGGATGTTTTGTGGTGGATGTCGTTCCATGTAATGACATCTGGGGTGCCCAAGGCTCGCGATTCCCCCACTGTGAAAATCAGCTTCTGATCAAAGGCCATCCGGAGCAGCTCCAGCACCTCTCTTCCCTCCCTATTATCAGGCAGGTACGCGGTTCGCTGTGTTCCAGGATAACTCCTTCCTGGGTTTGGGTGCTCTTTCTATGTGAAGACAAGAAAACGTCACATGAGAACAGTCCGCTTTCAAAATTCCACTACATGTACGGATGTATTAACTTGTAGGGAAAGCAAATCAAAAGAAAGAAAGAAAGGTATTGTTTGGGTCATATTCTCATGGTTTACACTTTTTCTCTTTCTTCAAATTCATGCTGGGAACATTATCCATCCTCCTGTCTCCTCTGTCCCCACCTTCATCCTAACATATAATCTCTATTCACCCTTTCTCTGCCTTAAGAAATAGACACCAGGGGCTGGTGTGGGTAAAGCCGCCACCTGCAATGCCAACATCCCATATGGGCACCAGTTTGTGTCCTGGCTGCTCCACTTTTGATCCAGCTCTCTGCAATGGCCCAAGTGCTTGGGCCCATGCACCCACTTAGGAGACCCAGAAGAAGCTCCTGGCTCCTGGCTTCAAATTGGTGCAGCTCTGGCCATTGCAGCCATCTGGGGAGTAAACCAGCAGATGGAAGACTCTCTCTCTCTCTCTCTCTCTCTCTGCCTCTCTATAACTCTGCCTTTCAAATAAATAAATATTTCAAAAAAGGAAGGAAGGAAGGGAGGGAGTGAAGAAAAGAAATAGATACCAGGGCAGGGTTTCGGTGCAGTGGTTAAAATGCTACTTAGGGCCTGCATCCCATGTAGGAGTGCCTCGGTTTGAGTTCTGATTCTGCTCCCAACTGTGGCTTCCTGTTAATCTTGCGAGGAAGCAAGTGATGGCTCAAGGGGTGGGATCCCTGCCACCCAAGAGGGAAACCTGGATTGAGTTTTGGCCTCCCGGCCTCAGTCTGGCCCATCCCTGGCTATTGAAGGCATCTGGGAATAACCAGAGGATGGAAGATCTCTCTGTGTGTTGCTCTGCTTTCCAAATAAATAATATATAAATAAAAATAGAAAACAAAATAGACACAAATGATATCTGAGTTACAGGCAAACACTGTGACCTTTATCACTAGTTTAGTCTCTTGCATTTGACCATGGAATAACTAACTCCTTGGGAAGTCCACTGTCAAACAGGCAGGAGGGCAACATCTTTTGCTCTGGCAATCCTGGCAGAGCAGAGAGAAACCCTGGCCCTTAGCGACACTTACTGTCTGTATGCCTCCTTTCATTGTGTAGGTGATCACAATGGAGCCACAGGAAGTATAACCTGGAAGTGAGTATCTTGATACACTGTGGACCATGGTTCCTTCTGGCTGATTCCCTTTCTGCATACCATAGGAGACCTGACACACAGGACAGGCCGGTCTATAGGACAGGGCTTTGCTGATACACGGACTGCAGAACTCATGCTTGCACTGGGGCAGCACGCGTTTGTCTGTAATGGCATCCATGCAGATGATACAGATCTCCTTTTCCTTCTCGTCCAGTCCCGAGGCCCCAGGACCCACAGAGTCCTTTGATAGAGGTGACGCTGGTTCTGAGCCATTACTATCGATTTCCATGGGTGCTTCATGATCCTCATTCGATTTCTCTCCAGCCGATGGAGACAGCCCACTTTTCTGCAGGACATACTGCTTTGCCTTTGCAAGGTGAACTGGCAAACCAGTCAAAGTCATTGACTTTGAAGTGAACGCCAAGTGTAGCTCTGGATGATTTCTCTCAAAGTCATCGGTAAACTTAGTGCTCCGGAAGTGCTTTCTCTCCTTGCCCAGATGTTTCAGTGACAGAACTTCTTTTGTCAGCTGACACGAGGCGTGCTGGAAGGCATCGATGAAACTGGCATACGCATGCTCAGATAGATCTAGCTCCCTCTCCTTGGGCTCAAAGAGAATGCAGGTGTTCTGACTTCTCCGCAAACTCTTACAGTCAGCGTTGTACTTTTTCTCTATCTCTGCGATGTCCTGGAGTAATTGAGTCTCTAAAAGCTTATAGCAAGCAGTGTCAACCTCAATCCCATCTACCATGCGACTGGGAGCCAGGATTTTCACAGGTGCCTTGACAAGGCTCTCAGAGATTTTCTGTTTGGCAGCTGAAATGTCATCTTGGGTCCCGAGGAGAGTTAATTTTCTTCCGTTCTCCTTTACAAGGAGTTTTGTGAAATGATGATTCAATTCCTGTTTCATTTTATTTGCCTGTGCACTGTCGGCTAAAGAGACACAATCTTGCTTCAGAGATTCTGTGACCTTCTGGAATTCACTTACAAAAGACTCACGACCTCCTTCTAGGTCGCCTGATGGACTTGAAACGAAGTCTAAATAGACCACCCCGGGGGAACTCGTATGAAATCTGAGATCGACACCAAATCTTCGCTTTATGGAGTCTGTTTTATGAGGACAGACGTATTTGAAATATTCAAACAAAGGCTCAGGGACTTCAAAACAGTTGCTTCTTTCTTCCGACCCAGTGTTTGCTTTGGAAGGAGCCATGCGGCTGCCCCGGTCCTGCTGAGCAAGTGGCTTCCTCTTTGTAGATGTGATGTAAGGGGCTAGACTTGCTTCAGGCAAAGACAAGGGGCCTTCAGCGAGGCTGCTCTCTCCTTCGGACCCCTTGTTAGGTTCGGAAGGAGCCACGCGGCTGTCCCGGCTATCCCGGCTATCCCGGCTGTCCCAGCTATCCCGGCTGTCCCGGTGCTGCTTATCAAGTGGCTTCCTCTCTGCTGTCAGAGGAGATGGCTCGCTCTGCAGGAGCTGCTCACTCAGGAACTCATGTATTGTTTCCATCGTTCGGAAGTCACCACACACCTTCTCAATTCCGTTCCGACCCTCCATGACTTTCACCTCGGGGCAGAGCGTGGTGATGTGTGCTCTCTGCTCTTTGGAGAACAGGTTACAGTTCAGGTCGGCTGTCACTTCAAGAAAGATCTGAAATTGTAAAAGGAACAGGGCCGGCGGTGACCATCTTCCACCTGGCTGATGGCAGCCCCTCCTACCTGGGCTCGGACCTTCCACTCTAGCCCCTTCCTACAGGTGTTTTTACACACAGAGGCCAGAGTGACCCTTTGGAAATGTAGATTGGATCACCCACTGCCTGCTCAGAACCCTCTGGGGAATCCCCTGCTGGGTAAGCTAATCTCCAAAGCCCAGAGCCCTTGGCCCGGTCTACATACCCCTAACACTTACCTTCTGGAGACCTACCCTCCCTCCCGGCCTCCTCTGACACTGGCTTTCCTAGAAGATTCTAGGGCTCAGGATGTTAGCTCCTGTGGGACCCTTTGCACGTGTGCTTCCAATGTTCTAGAATGTTCTCACCCCAGAAGCACACTTAGCTGGCCCCCCAACTTCATTCATGTCTCTCTTCTGATGTCATGGCATTTGGGAGGTTTTTCTCAATATCTTGTTCCAGATGGTAGCCCTGTCGTTCATCCCGCTTCACTCTGCTTCCTAGCACTTAGCACTGGCACACGTTTTATCATCTGTGAATTGGTTTGCTTTCATCGTCTGTTCCCTGCATTAGAAGGTAGCGTCCCCCAGAGCAGAGCCTGCCGTGGTCTCGGCTGTGTTCCCAGCCCATGCGGCAGCACCTGGCACCCCGCAGGTGTGGCACCGCTGTTTGCTGAATGAACCTTGGCCTGACTGCTTCCTTCTCACCACTCTGGCCTCACCTTGGCACAGCAGCTGTTTCTGACTCTTGGTCAGGAGCCGCACCTCTCCCACCCTCCTCTTCCTCACTCTGGCCCTGTCGCTCTCCGAGGCAAAACCCCATCTTACTGTCTTAGCACACAGAACTCTTTGGTGTAGGTTTATGCTGCTTACTTAGACACGTCCCCCATCCCTGTATTAGCTACATGACACCGGGGATTTTGTATTTTGAGCCCACCCGCTGTGTCCTAGCGCCTAGACCAGTGCCTGGTACATGGCTAGTCCGCAGCACCTGGCTGTTGGGCCAACAATGTGTGAGGTGGGGGCCCAGGGCAAGCCGCAGGGGTTCTGCCAGCTGCTTCCTTCACTGCTCACCTTTGGGACACAGGCGTCTATGGCGTTGGGCACAGGATCTTCATTGGGGTGCTTCTCGCCAGCTGGAGCCTCTGCGGGTGACTGTGCCGACAGAGGCACTCTGGGCCCCGTGCTTTCCTTTCCTGGAGTCTCTTCCAGGAAAATGGTCACAGGTTTGTCATTGACCAAAATCTGATGCGTTCCTTTCCTCAGTATTCTCTCCTTAGCTTCAGAGAAGACAGCAAATGCGCACAGAAATGGGAGAGATTTTAAAAAGAGTCGCCCATGAGAATCCCTGGGGCGGGGTGGAGGGTTCCAGGGCCACTATTAGACACCCAAATCCACAAGTGCCATGTCTTGTGTAAAATGGCTCAGCATTTGCACATCATCGGCCGTGCAAATCGTCTCTAGCTCACTTAGAACGCCTAATACAATGCCAGTGCTAGGTGAACAGTTATCCCACCGCATTGTTTGGGAAATGACAAGAAACATCTGTACATGTTCAGTATAGACACAACTTTTTCCCTTGACTATTTCCAATCCCTGGCCTATTGGATTCGTAGCTGCAGAACCCAGAGACACGGAGGACCTGACAGTGATCCTCTGATTCTCCATCTCTCCCCCACCCAGCAGCTTCTCCACAAGGCTGCTTCCTGCATCCGGTATTGGCGGGGGTGGGGGGGGGGGGGGGGGGTTGGGGGGGTGGGGGTGTGTGTGGGGTGTGTTAGTGATGGTGGATGTGGAGCAGAAACTTAAAACTTTAAAGTAAGCAGCCCAAGCTGGACTGCAGAAATGAACTCTTAATGAATACCAACCGTGACTTCAAGTCATGATTCTGAGATTGTCTTCATTTCAATGATGTGGAATAATACTCATTACATAGTTAAGTGAAAAAAAAAAGTCCAGGAAACAAAAATATAGATTCAGAATTCTGTAAATGCAGATGTTTGCTGACAATCAGAAAAAATACCCTGGGGGAGTGCTGGTGCTGTGGCATAGCATGTTAAAGCCGCCAACTACGGCACTGGCATCCCATATATGGGTGCTGTTTTGTGTCCCAGCTACTCCACTTCCGACCCAGTTTCCTGCTAATGCGCCTGGGAAAGCAGCGGAGGATGCACCCACGTGAGACCTGGTTGAAGCTCCTGGCTCCTGGCTTGAGCCAGGCAGACCCATTTCCTGCTGTTGCAGCCATCTGGGGTGTGAACCAGCATATGGAGAATCTCTCTGTAACTCTTTCAGATAAACAAATAGATCTTTAAAGAGAGAGGGAGAGAAGAGGAAGGAGAGAGAGAGGAAGAGGGAGAGGGAGAGAGAGAGAGGAGGAGGGAGAGAGAGGGGAGGAGGAGGAGGCAGGGAGGGAAGGAGAGAGAGAAAGAGAAAGAGAGAGAGAAAGAGAAAGAGGGGAGGAGAGGGGAGGGGAGGGGAGGGGAGGGGAGGAGAAGAAAAACTTGGAGGAAATAAACCAAATGCTTACATGTTTCTCTCCAGGTCGCTTTCCTCCTTCTTTTTTTTCTACAGTGAACAACACTACTTATGCAACCATCAAAAATCAGAATCATCATTTAAAAGTAAAAGTTAAATATCTATGTGACAAGGACAGCGATTGCCAGGAATCTGGGGGAGGTGACAGCTGAGAAACCTAAGGGATCTCAAAAAGTTCATGGAAAAGGTATATCATGGGAAAATAAACTATGCATGAATTTCAAATTTTGGGGCACCAAAATAAACTTCTCTTTTAATTTCATTTTCCCACTTCTATGAGGCAGGCGGGATGAGCAGAGAGCACCAATCTCATCGCGCAGTCAAGCCCTCAGTCTAGCTTTCTGCCCTGTGGCCGGGCTGAGGGACCCTGGCAGCAGTAGCCCTGGTCCTGTCCCCACAGCCTGAGCCATATTTCCCCCGCCTGCGCTGGACCTGCCCTGAAGCCCGCGGCGCTTGGGCGAGGATTGTGGGCCGAGGCCGGCCTGCACCTGCTGCCCGCCACTCACCTGCCCTTTCTTTGAACACCACTAAGAAAGTGTTCCGGACTTCAGAGACCACTGGCCGTACGCTGCACTCCCCGCCGTCCGAGTCCCGACTCTGGAAGTGTTTTTCTAGCTTCCAGTGCAGATGGCGGGAGGGTATGGACGTCCGCACGAGGAGCGGGGACGGGGGGTCGTCGCTGGAGGCCATGGCTGCGGGCGCGCGGCTGGCGCGGGGTCTCGGGACCGCGGCTGAGCGGCGGGGACAAGGGCGCGTCCCGCCCAGCCGCCCCGGGCTCAAAGTTTCAGTTTCGCTTCCCCGGAGTTCCCTCCCTTTTCTCGTGCACGACCTTCCCCCAGCTCTGCCAGCCATCGGCGCCGCGACCGTGAGCCGGGTTAGTGGCTCGGGCCCGGGGCTGGGTGCTGGAAGGGGAGGCTGCCCGCGGCTCTAGGGCAGGGCAGGTGAGGCCGGGGTCCCGGGCCAGGCCTCCGGGGGTGCGAGAGGCAGAAGAGGTAAGTTTCTCAGTCTTTGTAGCTTGTTAAGACGATTACTCGCCACCAAGATGTACTTCGCCTTCTGGATTCAGCTGAAACTTAAAAGCCGAGTTTGTTTGCTGCCCTGTGACGGATACCGCGGACCCTACCCTGCGTGTGGGGCCCTGTGGCCTTCGTGCACCCTTGGCCGGCAGCACTGACTGCCCTGCCGCCTGTCGCCGCGCGGGGGAGGGCGCGTGCCCGGGAGAGTGGTAGAGGGAGGTGGGCCTGGGAACCAAGCGGGACAGGCTCTCTCCAAGGCCTCAGGGAGGAAGTTTCCAGAAGAAACTTCCCAAGAGTGTGGGGCTGGGGTAGGGAGGGGAGGTTAGGGGCTGGGACGGGGACCAGTGTTAAAGTGGCACAGCCCATTAAGCCTTCCTGGTCCCAGCTGCTCCACTTATGATCCGGCTCCCTGCTGATTCGCCTGGAAAAGCAGCGAAGTGCTGGCACCCCTGCATCCACGCGGGAGACCTGGATGGAGTTCCAGGCTCCTGGCTTCCATCTGGTCATTGTGGCTATAAGGGGAGTGAACCAGCAGATGGAAGATCTCTCTGTCTCTCCCTTTCTCTGTCTTTCAAATAAATAAAATAGATAGAAAAAGGGGAGGGGGGTAGGATAGGACCTCTGAGGTCTTGGGACGGCTGCTGTGGGGCATACAGAGGAAGGGCCCTTGAAGCCTGGGAGGAGAGGAGATGCAGGAGGAGAGAAGGCAAAGGGAGAGGCAACCAGAGAACCCAGGGAAGGTGGCAAAGGAGAAACAACAGGGGTAATGCCAGGAACCCAATAATGAAAAGTTGTAGAGGGGGCGGGTAAAGATTAGAAACAAGACAGTCTCCTGTGGGTAACCACAAGGAGGACACGGACCATAGTGTGCAGGGCAGTGGGAGGGCGTCAGGTCAACCACTCTTTCCAGAAGGTTGGCTGCCCATGAAGAAAGTAAACCCAGTGGGAAGCAGGGATGGAGGGTTGGAGAGGCTTTTGTTATTGTTGTTTATTTATTGTTTTCGAGGCAGAGAGACACAGAGAGCACCTGTCTGTCGTTTTAGTCCCCAAACCCCTGCCACAGCCACAGCCACGGCTGGGAATTCAAATCCAGGTCTCCCTTGTGTGTGACAGGAGCTCCGTTATTGGAGACATCACGCTGCCTCTCAGGGTCTGTATTAGCAGGAAACTGGTGTCCAGAGCTGGAGCTGGGAGGTAAACTAGGCACTCTGATGTGGACAGCCAGCATTTTAAGTGGCCTTTTAGTCACTAGGTCAAATGCCTGTCCCTGCTATTGTTTTTAAAATGGAAAAAGCAAATGTTTCAAGCAATGTGATCTTTGTTCTAATTTCTTAGGGGTTTAGTGAGTGCCCCTCTCAGTGCTCAGTCTTGCCCTAGGCTTGTACAGCCTGGTCTGAAGACAGAAACCAGTGAAGCAAAAGCCCACAGCCAAAGTAGCTGCAGAGGGCTTCCTTGCTTTGTGAAAACAGCAGTGCCCTCTGCAGGCCCTAGTTCATCTTGTCCTTAATGTTTTAGGATTACACTGGACTTGCCTTTTTTTTTTTTTTTAATTTTTATTTTGACAGGCAGTGTTAGTGAGAGAGAGAGACAGAGAGAAAGATCTTCCTTCTGTTGGTTCACCCCCCAAATGGCCGCTGTGGCCGGCGCGCTGCGGCCAGCGCACCGCACCGATCCGGAGCCAGGAGCCAGGTGCTTCCTCCTGGTCTCCCATGCAGGTGCAGGGCCCAAGCACTTGGGCCATCCTCCACTGCACTCCCAGGCCATAGCAGAGAGCTGGACTGGAAGAGGAGCAACTGAGACAGAATCCGGCGTCCCAACCAGGACTAGCACCCGGTGTGCCGGTGCTACAGGTGGAGGATTAGCCTAGTGAGTCACGGCGCCGGCCTGGACTTGCTTTTCCTTGATGCATAGTGTTCTGATGTGATAGACAGTTGTACACATTTTTCTATTACAAAGCCATTTGAAATCACGTCTGCGGCTAAAAATAGCAATAAGCATGGACAACTGTGTCTCTAAGCATTTTCATCATCATTCTTCTAAAGCTTCAGATTCTTTTTAAAAAAGACTTATTTGAAAGGAAAAGTTACAGAGAAAGAGATGGAGAGACAACAACAGACAGAGAGAGAAAGTGAGAAAGTGAGAGTGAAAGAGAGAGAGAGAGGGAGAAAGAGAGGAGATCTTCCATCTGCTGATTCACTCCCAAATGGCTGCAGCAACCAGATTGGGCCAGACTGAAGCCAGGGCCTATGAATTCCATCCTGGTCTCCCACGTGGGTGCAGGGGCCCAAGCACTGAGGCCATCCTCCCAGGTACCTTAGCAAGGAGCTGGATTGGAAGTGGAGCAGCCAGGATTGGAACTGGTGCTTGTATAGGATGCTAGCATTGCAGGTGGTTGCTTAACCCACTGCACCACAATACCGACCCTAAACCTCAGAATCTTTCATTTTTACATTTAGATGGAAAATCATTAAAACATATTTTTATCCAGAAAATCATTAAAACATATTTTTATCCAGAAGTTTTCCTATCTAATTAAGCCAAGGATATTTATCACAAACTCAGTAATGCACACCCCTTGCAGGTATTAATAGAGTTTCTTTTCTTCTTCAAACACTCTAGGAGTCTTCATTTGCTTGTTTTTCTTCACTGTTCTTTGAGGGCTGTGCTCAGTCTCATCCTCCTTCTTTTGTTTTTTTTTTTCATTAATATTTATTTTTATTTTTATTTCTTTGAAAGGCAGAGTGACAGAGAGGGACACACACACACACACACACACACAGCTCTTCCATCCACTGATTCACTCTCCAAATGACTCCAACTTCCAGGGCTGGGCCAGGGCACAACCAGGAACCAGGAACTCCCATAGGGTCTCCCACATGGGTAGCAGGGGACCAAGTACTTGGGCCATCTTTCACTGCCTTTCCCAGGTGCATTAGCAGGAAACTGGATTGGAAGCTAAGTAACTGGGACTTGAATTGGCACTCCGATATAGGATACTGGTGTTGCAAGCCACAGCTTAACCCAGTGTGTCAAAATTCCCTCCCTCAACCTCTTTTTTTTTAAATTTTAAAGATTTGTTTATTTGAAAGGCAGAGTTAGAGAGAGAGAGAGAGAGAGAGAATCTTCCATCTGTTGGTTTGCTCCTCAAATGGCCTCAATGGCCAGAGTTGGGCCAGGCCAAAGCCAGGAGCCAGGAGTTTCATCCGGGTCTCCCACATGGGTGGCAGTGGTCCAAGCACTTGGGCCGTCTTCTGCTGCTTCCCCAGGCCACTTAGCAGGGAGCTGGGTCAGAAGTGTAGCAACCGGGACTTGAATGGTAGCTGTATGGGATGCCAAAGTTGCAGGCAGTGGCTTAACCACTGTGCCACAGCTCTGGCCCTCTATATTCCCTTCTGAATATGTAAAAAACCTGCTCTATCCTCCAAGGCCTAGCTCTAGTCTTACCTTCTTCCTGCAGGGGTGGGGAACATCTGGCCATATAAGATCTGTGAAATCATTTGGTCTGGCCCTGCAAAGCAATCACAGGTGGGGCCCAAAATTCAATAAATCTATAGCAGGCTAAGAGTATTTATTTTGACAAATGTGTATGGCCGTGAGTGATGTTATAAATATCCATATGGCCCTTGGCAGAAAAAAGGTTCCCCATTCCCAGTAGCTTCCCCTGTTCTAGCGCATCCTGTACTTTCTCGTCTCTGAACTATATTATGGTTTCACTTGGAACCTGTCCTGGAAAGGGTGGAAGGTGAAGAGTGAGTGACACCAACAACAAAGAGTGCATACGTATTTTTAAAAAAGGATGTATTTATTGGAAAGGTAGAATCACAGAGAGAGACACAGAGACAGAGACAGAGAATCTTCCATCTGCTGGATCACAGTGGCTGGGGTTGGGCCTGTCTGAAGCAGGGGCCAAGAACTCCATCAGGGTCTGGTGGCAGAGGCCCACCGCAGAGGCCGTCATCTGCTGCCTTCCCAGACGCAGCAGCAGGGAGCTGAATTGGCAGTGGAGCAGCCAGGACTTGAGTTGGTGTCCATAGGGGATGCCGGCATTGCAGGCAGTGACTTATCCCACCGCAGCACACCACCACGCCCCAATGTGTGCATTTTCACCATTGAGAATAAACATCAGTCCAGATCAGAAATCATGGTGAGTTCTCCCATAATGTATTCTTAGCAAATTTCCTAGGATCCTGGTCCATGCTTACTTGTCGTTTCTATTTATTCCTAGAAGTGGGCGACCATCTGTGTGTGCTTGGAGCTGCAGACCAGAGTAAACATTTCAAGATCCCTGGGAGACCTGGAGGATGACCTCTTCCAAGGTAAAAAGCATGACTGTGTATCCACCAGGAACTTTGACCAGCACATCCATAATTCTTCCTGTACCAACAGGAAATCTGGGGTTTCTGTTACACCTGGAATCCTCAGTTGGCTTCAAGAACCCAATAAGTTTTTTATGGGAAATGAGACTCAGGTCTACGCTAATCCAGATAACAGAGCCAACTTGAGGGTTTTTTTTTAAATGTCAGCGTAGTATCATTTTATCTTCACTCATGCAGCAATTCCTTTCCAGGATGGGGTAAGGAAGGTGATGGAGGAGGAATGAACACAAGGGAAAAGGAAAAAAGTAAAGCACCTCCCTGGCCAAACTTGAAGGCACCAAGTTTGCGAACTAGGCAACAGGAAGTGGCTCCCTGCTGGTGGAGGAGAGAAGCAGCTGACGAGGGAGGTCCACGTCTCAGTGTTTTCTTTCTGTCCAGAGAAGCCCCACAAGCTTCTGGACAGAAGCCTCTCTCAGAGTTTTGGGTCACTTTTTTTTTTTTTAAAGATTTATTTATTTGAAAAGCAGAGTTACACAGAGAGAGAAGGAGAGGCAGAGAGAGAGAGAGAGGTCTTCCATCTGCTGGTTCACTCCCCCAGTTGGCTGCAACAGCCAGAGCTGTGCCGATCTGAAGCCAGGAGCCAGGAGCCTCTTCCAGGTCTCTCTCATGGGTGCAGGGGCCAAGAACTTGGGCCATCTTCTACTGCTTTCCCAGGCCACAGCAGAGAGCTGGATCAGAAGTGGAGGAACCAGGTCTTGAATCAGCGCCCATATGGGATGCCAGCACTGCAGGTGGCAGCTTTAGCCTCTACGCCACAGTGCCAGCTTGGGTCACTTTGATTTGTGACGTTTGAGCATTTCCATGTGTCGTTCTCTCGCCCTTCCTCGCAGTCTGAATTAGAAGTGCATTAACCTCGCAGCGGGATGAGGTCGATGTTTGCTGGAACCGTTGGTATTTTAGGTATTACAAGCACACGGATGAAACAAACAAAAAAACCTGAGTGCTCCCTTCCCTCCCAAACCCAGCGCTTTGTGCAGCATTTTTGTTGCTTTGTGTTTACATTAAACTGTGTTTGTTGTTCACAACCTGTAGTATTCATTCGGCTTCACTTTCTTTCTTTCACTTTCTCGCCTTCCACAGGGAACGGGAGCAGCTCACCCACAGTCAGGTAGGACCCCCTCTTCTCACTCCTGTGCCAGAGGCTTTGCTCAGCTCTTGCCTCAGGGGAGCAAGGGGAACACGCGTGGAGAATGCCTCCCCCACAGCAGCTCAGGTGCGTGGGTGCAGGTTCTTGTGGGGACCCCCCCCCCCAGCTTCCAAACGGGGCCTGCTTTGTTGGTGTGGGCCAGCAGGCACATCCTCTTAAGGCCCCCATGGATCCTCTGCTTTCCTCACTAGACTTAAGACATATATTATTGTAAATATTTATTTATTTATTTGAAAGACAGTTAAAGAGATAGAGAGAGGGAGAGACAGAGATCTTCCATCTGCGGGTTCACTCCCAAATGGCTGCAATGGTCAGGACTGGGTGGCTGAAGCCAAGAACCAGCAGCTTCTTCTGGGTCTCCCACGTGGGTACGGGGGCCAAAGCACTCAGGCCATCCTCCACTGTTTCCCAGGCACATTAGCAGGGAGCCGGATCAGAAGCGGAGCTGTCAGAACCAGTGCCCATATGGGATGCTGGTGCCAGTTGGAGTCTGGCAGCTCCACTTCCAGTCCAGCTCCCTGCTAATGTGCCTGGGAAAGCAGCAGAACACAGCCCAAGTACTGGGGCCCCTGCCGCCCTCAGTGGAAGACCCAAATGGAGTTCCAGGCTCCTGGCTTTGAACTGGCCCAGCCCCAGCTATTGTGGCCTTTTGGGAAGTGAATCAGTGGATGGACAACCTCTCTCTATCTCTCCCTCTCTCTGTAATTCGGTCTTTCAAATAAATAACTAAACCTCTTTAAAAGATTGTTTTTAAAAAGAAGCTTGTGGAAAAATGGAATTAAAGGGCCTGTTTTATTTTGTTGCCAAAAAAACTACAAAATGGAAAATAGAATCAAAAGATTTTGGTGAATCTGCATGTATTTATTTTTTCCATAATACACATTTTCCAGAAAGACCTCTCATGAGGTGAATACTCTGAAATCAGTTAGTTTTATTTCCACTAAAATTGTGCCGGGAAACGAGACCATCATGAAGAGTCACTTCCCCTAGCAAGCATTGTCAGTGCGCCACTAGTTTGCTGGTCTGATGTCCCCTCCTCCCCTTCCCCAACAAGAGCAATCAAGACTCAGGGCCGGTGGAAGCTGGGTAAGTCGCCCAGCTCGTGCCCCTCTGGGGTGCTGTTCCCCAGTGCAGCTTGGCCTCATTGTGAGTCACACACCCCTTATGTACTCCTTCCTTTGTCTCGCTTCCTCACCCTGCCCTGCCTACCTATTCCAGGTGGTTTCTGGGGTTGCCTCCCAAATGAACTACTTGAGATCAAAATCTCATCTCAGGGTCTGCTTCTCAGAGGACCCGAACTAACACACTGATTGAAGCAAAAAAGTTATGAATATGAAAAAAGTTATGAATATTAATAAAAAGTTATGAATTGCCTCTCCTTGTTTTTGACTCATAATTGAGTCCTTTACAATACATGTGTCCTAACATGGGCCTTCCCAAACTCACTATAAAAAATATATATATATATATATATTTTTTTTTTTTTTGACAGGCAGAGTGGATAGTGAGAGAGAGAGACAGAGAGAAAGGTCTTCCTTTTGCCGTTGATTCACCCTCCAATGGCCGCCACAACTGGCGCGATGCAGCCGGCGCACCGCGCTGATCCGAAGGCAGGAGCCAGGTACTTCTCCTGGTCTCCCATGGGGTGCAGGGCCCAAGCACTTGGGCCATCCTCCACTGCACTCCCTGGCCACAGCAGAGAGCTGGCCTGGAAGAGGGGCAACCGGGAAAGATTCCGGCGCCCCGACCGGGACTAGAACCCGGTGTGCCGGCGCCGCAAGGCGGAGGATTAGCCTAGTGAGCCGCGGCGCCGGCCCAAAAATATATATTTTTTAAGATTTATTTATTTGTTTGAAAGGCAGAATCACAGAGAGGCAGAGGCAGAAAGAGAGAGAGGTCTTCCATCCACTGGTTCACTCTCCAAATGGCTGCAATGGCCGGAACTGCGCCCATCCAAGGCCAGGAGCCAGGACCTTCTTCCGGTCTCCCATGTGGGTGCAGGGGCCCAAGGACTTGGATCATCTTCTACTGCTTTCCCAGACCATAGCAGAGAGCTGGATTGGAAGTGGAGCATCTGGGACTTGAACCAGCAGCCATATGGAATGCATGCATTGCAGGCAGTGGATTTTCCCACTATGCCACAGCACCACCTACCACCCCCCCCCCCAAAAAAAGCTTTTTATGTATTTATTTGCATTTTCTTTGAAAGGGAGAAAGACAGAGAGAGGGGGAAGGAAGAGAGAGAGAGAGAGATCTTCCATCTGCTGGTTTACTCCCCAGATGCTCACAATAGCCAGGACTAGGCCAAGTCAAAGTCAGAAGCCCAAAACTCTATCCATGTCTTCTGCATGGAAGACAAGGACCCAAAGACTTGAGCCATCATTTGCCCCCCCGCCCCCTGCCATGATGCCTATCAGCAGAGAGCAGGATAGGAAGCAGAGGAGCTGGGACTTGGAACTAGATACTCCTGCCATAGGGATGTGGATATCCTAAGCAACATATGAAACTCTGTGACAAACATGCTACCCCCAACTCAACCAGTTTTACATACATTTAAAACATTCCAGAGCCCCCCCCCCCATAAACACACTGATCTCAACACCAATGTTGTATCCTAGTAGTTACCATTTATGGGGCATTTACTATATGTCAGGCACAAGATTAAACACTTATGGGAGATGTACCTTTGAAAACTCTAGGACAAGGCCTGGGTTCGTAGCACAGCAGGTTAAGCCTCAACCAGCAACACCATATCCCATATTGGAGAGCTGGTTCGAGTTGCAACTTTGAGTTCTGGTGGCTCCATTTTTGATGCAACTCTGTACTAATGTGCCTGGGAAAGCAGCCAAGGACGGCCCAAGTGCTTGTGCCCCTGCCGCCCAAGAGGGAGACTGGGATGCAGTTCCAGGCTCCTGGTTTTGGCTTGGCCCGTTCCCAGGCATTGTAGCTCTCTGGAGTGTGAATCAGTAGGTAGAAGCGCGCTCTCTCTCTCTTTCTTCTCTCTCTCTCTCCCCCTCCCTCTCTCTGAAACTCTTTCAAATAAATAAAATAAATCGTAAAAAAAAAAAAAAAAAGTAGACTGTTGGCTGTCCTCGGTCTGATTACATGTCTAGATGAGGAGACTCAGAAGGGGAGGAGGGGAAGCTCATCTCTATTCTGAACAAAGAAAATGTGTTCTCCTTGGGTACAGGGATTGCATGCTTTTCAAAGGAACCCTCGCTCATTTCTTTGTTATTATTATTGCTGTTACTGTTGTAATTATTATTGTTTTGTCTTCTCTCCTTTTCCAGAGACTGACACTCCTGAAGAAAACTATAGTTGGCAAATTCCCATTCATCAAAAAGCCTTTGAAATTTTGAAAAATAACGAGAGTCAGCTGTGTGAAGTCCTCCAGCATAAGTTTGGCTGCATCTCTACCCTGGTGTCTCCAGCTGTGGAAGTTAACAGCACGTCTTTGCAGGTCTTCCGGAAAAGGCTGAGCCCTAGGCTAGAGTTATCTGTCTGGAAGGATGACCTCACCACGCACGCTGTTCACGCTGTAGTAAACGCAGCCAATGAGGAACTTACACATGCCGGGGGGCTGGCTGGGGCCCTGGTGAAGGCCGGCGGCTTTGAAATCCAGCAGGAGAGCTGGAACTTTGTTGCCAAGTATGGTAAAGTACCAACTGGGGAGATAGCCATCACCGGGTCGGGGAAGCTGCCCTGCAAACAGCTCATCCACGCCGTCGGGCCCCGGTGGACCCCCGGGGAGGAGCGGAGCTGTGTCGATAAGCTGCAGAATGCCATTGTAGCAATTCTACACTATGTTACCTGGAGAAATCCATACATTGAGACTGTAGCAATCCCAGCCCTGAGCTCCGGGATTTTCCAGTTCCCTCTGGACTTGTGTGTAGGGACCATCGTAAATACTATCAGTACTTATTTCCAAAGGGAGCAAGTGGTCAGCAGCCTGAGAGAAATCCACCTGGTGAGCAATGAGGACCCTACTGTTGACGCCTTTAAAGCTGCTTCAGAATCCATCCTGGGGAGGAACGAGCTGGACCTCGGGAGCAGTCGTGAAGCCTCTGCTTCCCACAGGACCCTCCTGGTTTTCCAGAACCTGATTCTCGAGATTGTCCAGGGCCGCATAGAACTGCAGGAAGTAAGTTGTTGTTGTTTTAAGATTTATTTATTTATTTGAAAGGCAGAGTTACACAGAGAGAGAAGGAGAGGCAGAGAGAGAGAGAGAGAGAGGTCTTCCATCCACTGGGTCACTCCCCAATTGGCCACAATGGCCAGAGCTGTACCAGTCTGAAGCCAAGAGCCAGGAGCTTCTTCCAGGTCTCCCACGCAGGTGCAGGGGGCCAAGGACTTGGGCCATCTTCTACTGCTTTCCCAGGCCATAGCAGAGAGCTGAATCGGAAGTGGAGCAGCCGGATCTCGAACCGGTACCCATATGGGATGCCGGTGCTTCAGACCAGGGCATTAGCCTATTGCGCCACAGCGCTGGCTCCAAGAGGAGCCTTGAAATCTTTAAAGGGTGCCAGGGCCCCCAAATTGCAGATTCTGATTTCACTTTTTTTTTTTTTTTAAGATTTATTTATTTGAAAGTCAGAGTTACAGAGAGGGAGAGGCAGAGAGAGAGAAAAAGGTCTTCCATCACTGGTTCACTCCCCAAATGGCCTCAATGCCCAGGGCTGGGCTGTTCTGAAGCCAGGAGCCAGGAGCTTCTTCTGGGTCTCCCACGTGGGTGTAGGAGCCCAAGCACTTGGGCCATCTTCTGCTGCTTTCCCAGGGACATTAGCAGGGAGCTGGATCTGAAGTGGAGCAACTGGGACTCAAACCAGTGGCCATCTGGGATACTAGCATTACAGATGGTGACTTAACCCAGCAACGCTGACCCCAATTTATTCCTCCCTCCCTCCCTCCCTGCTTCCCTCCCTTCCTCCCTTCCTTCCTTCCTTCCTTCCTTCCTTCCTTCCTTCCTCTCTCTATCTCTCTTTCTCTCTCTCTCTTTTCTTAGGTTTATGTATTTATTTGAAAGTAGAGTTGACTGTTTGGAGGGGGGCTTCCATCCACTGGTTTACTCCCCAAATGGCTGCAACAGCCCACTGCTTTCCCAAGTGCATTACCAGGGAGTGGGATCAGAAGTGGAGCAGCTAGGACTTGAACCAGCTCTCATATGGGATGCTGGTGTTACAGGAGGTGGCTTAATCCAGTGCACCATAGCGCTGGCCCCATATCTATATAATTTCTGAATAGAGCAAAGCTTCATGGCAGTCAATGATTACTCTTTGGAAATATGAGTTTCTATGTATTATTCAATGGGGTTTTTGGTGGCTTTAGCATCCTCATAAAGTATTTTTCAAATCTCCTCAGGGAAATTAAGATTTAAATTAGTCATTTAAGAGAAGAAATTTAACAGTGAATCCTGTCCTTTTTTCTCCCCTTTTCAGACAGATGTAATTGTTAGTTCTATAAGCCAAGTTAATCATACAGCAGGACCTGTGTTAAAATCAATTCTACAACAGGCAGGAGATGAGATGGAATTGGAACTTGAAAAACAGGCTAAACAGCGTAGAGATTCTCAGTTGGTACTGATCACGGAAGGATTTAATTTGTTGTGTCTAAATGTATTCCATGTACTCTGGGATCCAACTCTTCCTAAATGTCAGGTAAGTTCAAAATAAGTTTCTCTTTATGTAACTTGATGCATGAATTTGTCTTTTAAAAAGCTTGGTATCTATCTATCAGTCTATCTGTGTATTTATCATCTATCTATGAGGCAGAGTGAGAGAGCGCCCATTCCCCAGTTTGCTCCGCCAGCGCCACAACGACTGAAGTTGGGCCAGGCCAAAGCCAGGAGCTAGGAACTCAGTCCAAGTCTTCCACCAGGTGGCAGGGCCCCAAATACTTGAACCGCCACTTGCTGCCTCCAGCAATATGCATTAGCAGGAAGCTGGAGTCAGGAGCTGGAGCCAGCTGTCCAGTCCAGGTTCTTGGATGTACGACACAGTGTCTTAAACACTAGACTAAACACCTGCCCCTATAAAATTTATCTTTGTATAGTTCCAGATATGTGTCTATCCAGTCTTTTCAGGATTTCCATCATTTCATTATGTTCTTGAAACACTATCAGGGGGTAGAGTCTCCATTTTTCAGTTCATCCATGAATACCTGAAATACTGAACAAGTATAGGTGCCACAAGTTATTTTTAGATGTTTGATTTAGAATATTATCTAATATTTATAATATTATTTGATTTAGAATATTATCTGAATTTTAAGTGGGCATATTGCAAGTGGGCCCTCAAACAGCAGTGTTCCCTCAGTCTGCACACAGATTTGCCCAGCATTCTACTCTATAGGCCTTCTGTAGGCCTTCTGCTGAGTAGGCCTGGGTTCCAGCCTCTCCGTATTCCCCTCCATGGATTAAATCCCAGGAGGAGCTGGAGTTTCCCTTGCAGCACCGTTCCAGTCAAATCTGTTACCTGTGATCTCGTCTCACCCAGGCCTGTGGTGGAGCTCGGCTCTCTCGCTGCCTCTTCATCTGAGGCACATAAAATACAAGCATGAAAGAATGTGAGGACACATGTAGGTGTGGGAACAGGGAAAGTTAATCCACTTCCTGCCTTTGTATACCTATATTTCTTCACATTGCTTGGCTAGAGAGCATTCAAAAACCAAATTGGGAATTTTCCAAGGTCCTTCTGTAGACATTACTAATACAGCCATGTATTAGTAATCCAATTTGATATTGAAACATCTGCCCAAAATATTAATAATTCTCCAGTAGAAATTACATGATAAGTCTTAATTACATTGAATAAATGCTTTCTGAATTAAATCTCTATCTCCTTTATTAAACTTCCAAAAGTTTCTTATGTTGACCTGTGAGTGGCAGGTGCATGGGGATAAAATGATGCTTGCCTCTAATCTAGGGAGACAGACAAAGCTATGGAAACCAGGAGAAATCCCAGTGCCCACATAACAACACACAGTAGACTGTTATTTCAGTTTCTCGTTCCTTTGATTTCGCATCATCCACCCTTCTGTCTGTAGTGGATTCCCTATGGAATAGACCTTTCCTGACGTCCTAAGAGGCAGGAACGTGACCATGAGGTGGAGTGGAGTTTGGCAAAATATGGGCAGGATCAAGGGGTAAAAGAAATCTTATTTTTTGAGTGAAAGGCTGATCATAAATTTGTGTTTCTCCTAAAGGTATTGAAAGATGCAGTGAAAACATGTTTGGAAAAATGCCTTGTGCTAAGAAAATCTTCCATTTCCTTTCCTGCACTTGGAACTGGAAACACTGGTATGGCTAAGGCTACTGTGGCAGAGATTATGTTTGATGAAGTTTTAACATTTGCCAGAGGCAGATTGAAAAAGCCATTAACTGTAAAGTTCGTAATCTTCCCAGACGAAATGGAGACATATAAGGTAAGTAGTATCTTAGAGATGTCCTACACGTCATTCATTCATTCATTCGTTCGTTCAATGTCTGTCTTGCATCTCCAAAGTAAGACACAGGACTGGGTGCTGTAAGGCATAGTGATGCTCTAACTTGGTGAAATCTAATTTCTAAAACACCATTATAGAAGCCTCGCTTTTTCTTTTCCTTTGTTGGCACTTACTTCTCTCTGTTCCTTAAAGGCAAGCAAACTCCTAGTTTCGGCGTTGGGTCCTCTGCTCCTCAGCCTTCTCTCTGTCTCCAGAACACAACAGTGGTTATGACTTCTGCCACGACCTCTGCAAACTCATGTCTTCTGAGCCAGCTTCACGCCCGCATCCTCAGCCTCCTCTCACTTCCACATGAACACCTGGCATCTCTAACCCAATATACTTAGAACAAAGGCCTTGTCGTGTCCAATCAATCCATTTCTTCTCTAAAATCCCTATCAATCTCAGCTTTGCCTCTTATTGGCTGTGTGACTATGGGTGACTTCGTTTCCTTACCTGTATCTCAGTCTCCTCATCTTGGGCCACTATTGAGGATTAAACTAGGTAATATGTGGATGACATCATAGCATATTGAGTAAAGCCACCACCTGCAATGCCAGCATCCCAAATGGGTGCTAGTTTGTGTCTCGGCTGCTCTACTTCTGATCCAACTCCCTGCTAGTGGCCTGGGAAAAGCAAAGGAAGATGGACAAAGGACTTGGGCCCCTGCCACCCATATGGGAGACTTAGAAGCAGCTTCTGGCTCCTGGCTTTGGCCTGGCCCAGCACTGGCCATTGTGGCCATCTGGGGAGTCAACCAGTGGATGGAAGATCTCTCTGTCTGTTCCTTTCTCTGTGTAACTCTTTCAAATAAATAAATAGATCTTTTTTTAAAAAAAATAAATTAGGTAATACATGTAAAACCTAGAGTTGTACCTGGCACACAGTAGGCCCTCCATGCAGGTCAGCCATTATTATATCAAATGTAATGAGCTGTAGTTGACTGAATGCGCGATTATTACTAAACCAAGCGGTTGTTTATCTTTTCTTTCTAACTAGAGTGTAAGGGCTTTAATAGCAGAGGTGCTTTTGGCTACTTTTGCCATATGTCCAGACTGCCATCAAATTCATTTGGCTCTTTCTTAACTTGTCCTGGGTGACCTTGGAGAGAAATTGGTTGTGATCCAACACAAAACGGTGGGACATATGTGCTGGGGAGGAGATAACTTTTGTGTCTCAGTGCAGACTTGTGTGTCTAGCTGCTTTGGCTCCCACTTTATCTCAGCCGTGTATCGCTTTGTGGCCAGATCGAGCTGTTTAACGTGTGGAGGAGTCCCTGGTACGGTCAGTATAGTTAGTATATATTGCTGTACTTATCTGCCTTTAAAGTATCAACTGCCACTTTGTTTTATTCTTTCTTAGCTGGAATTTTCTTTTTTTTTTAAAAAAAGATTTATTTATTTATTTGAAAGGCAGAATTACAGAGAGGCAGAGGCAGAGAGAGAGAGAAAGAGAGAGAGAGAGAGGTCTTCCATCCGCTGGTTCACTCCCCAGATGGCTTCAATGGCTGGAGCTGGGCCAATCCCAAGCCAGGAGCCAGGAGCTTCTTACAGGTCTCCCATGCAGGTGCAGGGGCCCAAGGACTTGGGCCATCTTCTACTGCTTTCCCAGGTCATAGCAGAGAGCTGGATCAGAAGTGGAGCAGCCAGGACATGAACTGGCACCCATATGGGAAGCCTGGCACTACAAGCGGCAGCTTTACCCACTACTCCACAGTGCCGGCCCCAAGCTGACATGTTCAAAAAAGACTTTGATGATATCAAGGTAGAATAAAAAGGGTAAGTTGCAAGGGCTTCAAAAAGGTTTCCCAGACATAGGTTCTGATTCTGGCAGCAATAGCATTCAGATGTCTGTGAGGTCTCCCAGGAGTGTGCCTGGCTGAGAGTTAGTTCTCTGGCTGCTCATCTTCCCAGGCAAGGGTCAAAGCAGCCATTTTCTCTCTCCCTACCAGGAAAGCAATAGTATATCTTTGTTCCAGCTTGCTCTTTCCTGGAAGAAGAGTCCCTGCCTGGACAGGGAGCTCTGAAGTGTCTGCTGCTGTCCCCAGGCTTTCAAGCTGTCAGTGTGACATCACTGAAGGCAGAGTTGGAGGAGATGCTCACAATGGGCTCTCGCGAGCCAATGTAAGCTGGCTCTAGTGCTCCACTGTGCCTCGCCCAAGGGCTGCCTAGCATTACACTGCCAGATGACTCGGTGAAATAGCTCAAGCCCTTGACAAAAATGAATCATCCTGTCCTTTGAATGAGGTTCACCCATTCCCAAAGCAGAGAGTATCCCTGGGCCCAGACAGGAGCCGTGACTGCCTTCCTGAACTGCTCGTGAAGCGCTGTTTCCTGACAACGGAATTAGCCACAGCTAGGAAACGAGGTTCACCACGTCCCACACACAAACAAAAGCGTGTTCCGCAGCTCCAGGAACGTGGAAACAGCACCCACAGTCTGAGGGCTTCCTGTGGGATTCATAATCAAGGTGGTGGCCAGGTATTGTGTCTGCCAAGCACTGTGTTACAAAGGCGTCTCATTTCACTGTCCCCTAATCCTGGATGAAGATGTTGACATCATCCCCATTTCACAAAGGGGAAGACAACCCAGAGGGTAGCACACCTGTAGCTGATGAGGAACAATCATGAGAAATGATAAATCCATTTTGTTTCTCAAAGGGGATTGTCCTAAACAATAATTTATATTCTGTAGTGAGCGTTGACCATTCTTCAGGTTTTGTGCAATGTTAACACTATATTATATCCAAGCAGGTATGATATTATACACACATATGTATACACCTCTGACCTACCAATAAACTTGTGTTCTTCCTAAATAAGCCTCACCATGAGAGATGTGTGTAAGGATAGTTCTCAGGGCAATTGGTTTATTTCCTTACAAAACAGATTTGTCAGACATCCAGAGTTAAGCTGACTAAGGTGGACCAACCTATACTAAATTCATAATAAAGTAAAATCTACATTCGCAAGCTCATATTTTCCAATTCAGAATTCACAATGAGTAAATAGCTCTCCACCTACTGAAACGGTTGTGTTTATTGGTATATTGTGATGATCGGATCCTGGGTGAAGTTGAGTATCTACAAAAGTCAGTGCATGGTTCTGTAATGAACTTACTGCCTATCAGCCTGGTGCTAAGCATTATGTCTCAGAACAAGGAAGATATATTACTCCAGGGCCCATTGCTGACATCTCTTGTGGACAGAGTTGGAAAAATGCTGCCAAATTCTTGCCATTTGGGTCGATTTATTTGAAAGGTAGAGCTACAGAGAGCAGAGGCAGAGAGAGAGAGAGAGGTCTTCAGTCCACTGATTCACCCCCAGTTGGCCGCAACGGCCAGAGCTGCGCTGATCCAAAGCCAGGAGCCAGGAGCTTCTCCCAGGTCTCTCTCGTGGGTGCAAGGGCCCAAGGACTTGGGCCATCTTCTACTGCTTTCCCAGGCCATGGCAGAGAGCTGGATTGGAAGAGGAGCAGCCAGGACTAGAACCGGCGCCCATGTGGGATGCCGGCGCTTTAAACCAAGGAGTTAACCCACAGCACCACAGCGCCAGCCCCTCCTCAGTGTTTTTGCTGTTAAGTTAGTTTCTTTCAAATTCAATCCAAAGTCTTGCCTACTGATTTCTAACCTATCCTTAACTTTTTTTTTTTTTTTGACAGGCAGAGTGGACAGTGAGAGAGAGAGAGAGAGAGAGAGAGAGAGAGAAAGGTCTTCCTTTGCCGTTGGTTCACCCTCCAATGGCCGCCACGGCCGGCATACTGCGGCCGGCGCACCGCGCTGATCCGAAGGCAGGAGCCAGGTACTTATCCTGGTCTCCCATGGGGTGCAGGGCCCAAGCACTTGGGCCATCCTCCACTGCACTCCCTGGCCACAGCAGAGGGCTGGCCTGGAAGAGGGGCAACCGGGACAGAATCCGGCGCCCCGACCGGGACTAGAACCTGGTGTGCTGGTGCCGGCAAGGTGGAGGATTAGCCTAGTGAGCCGTGGCGCTGGCCTCCTATCCTTAACTTTTAAAACAACCTCCAGGAGAAGATGATTTTTTAAAAAAAGATTTATTGGGTTCTGCACTGTGGCTCAGCAGGTTAACGCCCTGGCCTGAAGTGTTGGTCAATTGAGGAGTGAACCAGCGGATGGAAGGCCTCTCTCTCTCTGCCTCTCCTTTCTCTGTGTAACTCTGACTTTCAAATCAATAAATAAACCTTTTTTGATTTATTTATTGATTTGAAAGTCAGAGTTACAGAGAGACAGAGGCAGAGGGAGAGGCAGAAAGAGAGAGAGAGAGAGAGAGAGAGAGAGGTCTTCCATCCACTGGTTCACTCCCCAGATGGCCACAATGGTAAGAGCTGCGCTGATCTGAAGCCAGGAGCCATGAGTTTCTTCCAGATCTCCCATGTGGGTGCAGGGGCCCAAGGACTTGGGCCATCTTATACTGCTTTCCCAGGCCGCAGCAGAGAGCTGGCTTGGAAGTAGAGCAACTGGGACTCAAACTGGTGCCCATATGGGATGCCAGCACTGCAGTCTGCAGCTATACCTGCCACGCCACAGTGCCGGCCCCAAGAGATAATTTTTATCCTTTTGTGCAAACAGCATCTCTTATTAATCTTTTGCCTCTTTTATTTTATTTCCAAGTTCTTGGGTGGCAGGGTAGGGAAGAACCTCACCAGGTCAAAATAGGGTAAGATTTGGGGCTTCTTGCTTGGGAAATAGCAGCTGCCAATACAATTTAGGTAGATGACATCCCATAGAGTAAGAAACCTTATTGTTAAAGTTCATATGCAAAGCAAAGTCTAGTCTTTACCTCATTAATTACTGTCTTCTCCATGCAGTAATTACTCCAATTTTATCAACTTTGAACAAGGAAGACACTTGGATGTGGTGGTTCCAAGCCCTAGGAGAGATGTTATTTCAAAAAGACTCTGTGTTAAAGGATTTCCATGGCAGTATGCACAAATCTTGTCTATAGACTTTTCATTTCATAACAATTACACTAACAGCTAAGTGTATATTGGTGATTCTATGTGTCAAGTACAATTTAAAGCAATTTATAGGAATTAACTCCTATAAAACCAATCATTCAGTCTACAAAGTTTGGTATATGTATAACTTTTAAAATGAATTTTTAAAATTTATTTGAAATTCAGAGTTCCAGAGAGAGAAAGTTAGACACGTAGATCTCCCATCTGTTGGTTCACTCCCAAAATGGCCACAATGGTCAGTTCTGGGCCAGGCTGAATCCAGGAGCCTGAATTTCAAATAGGCCTCGAACTTGGGAGGGAGGGGCCCAAGAATTTGGGCCATGTTTGGTCCAGCTGCTTGCTCAGGAGTATTAGCTGGGAGCTGGATTGGAAGTGGTGCAGCCCGGATGCAAACCAGTGTTCATACGGGATACTGGCATTGCAGGCAGTGGCTTAACCAGTTGTGCCACAATGCCTGCCCTGTGTTTTATTAAGTATAGGGCATCTCCCTGTCTCTGCCTTCTTCAGTGACAGATCCACGCTTGTAGTTCACAGTTCTGTGATAAGCAGGGCATTAATGTCTATTGAATGAATGAATGATTATATTTTGCTTTGGAGTATATATTTTTACACAAAATTTTGTTTTCTTTACATTTTTCCTATACTTGCTTCCTCTATATGTTCTAATAGAGTCTGATGTTGCACTAGCTATTCCCTAGGACTTTCCTAAAGCCTGTGTTATATCTGTGGCAGTGGGATGGTGGCTGAGAGTGGCTGAGGTCAGGGGTGTTCTGTGCAGATAGATTATGGTGACAGTGGCTCTAAGCCCATTTATGGCTGTCTGCTCTGTTTTGCTTATTGTAGGTTTTCAGAGCTGAAATGGAAAAGAAGTCCAAGATGCTGGGTCTCAATAATTACAGAGGTGAGTAAACAATTCACAGACCTGCAAGTAGAGTGTCCCACCCTAGGTTTGTCCTGCTCTCTGTTCTCTGAACTAAAGGAGGGGAGGAGAAGAAATATGCTAAATATATGTCATTGTGTTCCTGAACCTGCTCTATTCCTGACCATAATTCTATTCTTGCTCAGTCTAGTTTCACGTTATGAACAAAAGGAGGCTAAGTCATAATAGTAGTATAATAGTAGATAATAGTAGATAATCCACAGTGTGGGCAGTTCATTCACAAATGGGTACCTAAAAAGTTCTTACTTCATAAACTAAGTTGGACACTCTTTCTGCTCTGAACATCTAGATGGGGTTACTTATTACTAATTACAGAAAACACATCTCAGGTATACCTAATAAATGAGTTAACCCAATGCTACCCAAATCTGAGCACTGGGATCATGATGAAAAAAAAAAAAATTTTATGATTTGTTTATTTGAAAGTCAGACTTACACAGAGAAAGAGAGGCAGGGAGAGAGAGAAAGGTCTTCCATCAATTGGTTCACTCCCCAGTTTGCCACAACGGCCGGAGCTGAGCCCATCTGAAGATGCACATACATGAATATATACAGGCCACAACACTACAGACTGTGATTCAGGTCAACCTTGGGTCTCGGCCAAGCATGTCTATTTTGGAATGTTTTTTACTCAGTTTCTCTGTTAGGCCAGATTTGAGATCACTGGACCAGACAATCCAGGTTGTTGGGGGCTGGAGAAGGATTTACATGGCCTGATAACTCCATTTCTTTGGAGCTTGAATACTGAGAAGGAGTGTTCAGTGGCCCAGCAGTGCTGGAAACAAGGAAGGGGAACTTTAAGGGTCTCTATGCTTCTTCTGAGCCTGTTTGTCTGTTTGCATAATGACAGCAGTAACAGGCTGTTGTGATTATGTGTGTAAAGATGCAAAGCGTTAAAAAAAAAAAAGGGCCGGCGCCGTGGCTCACTAGGCTAATCCTCCGCCTAGCGGCGCCGGCACACCGGGTTCTAGTCCCGGTTGGGGCGCCGGATTCTGTCCCGGTTGCCCCTCTTCCAGGCTAGCTCTCTGCTGTGGCCCGGGAGTGCAGTGGAGGATGGCCCAGGTGCTTGGGCCCTGCACCCCATGGGAGACCAGGAAAAGCACCTGGCTCCTGGCTCCTGCCATCGGATCAGCGCGGTGTGCCGGCCACAGCGCGCCGGCCGCGGCGGCCATTGGAGGGTGAACCAACGGCAAAAGGAAGACCTTTCTCTCTGTCTCTCTCTCTCACTGTCCACTCTGCCTGTCAAAAAAAAAAAAAAAAAAGTCCTATGGGATAAATAATGAGTGAGGATGGACAAATACACCAGGTTGTCCAGAGAAGGAAGAGAGTCCTTCTAACTGCAAGGGATTGGAGAATGACATGAGGCATAAGAATAGGTTTAAGCTGGGCTTAAAAGATGGCAGAAATTTCGTGGGCCAGAGTTGATGGTGGTGGCAGGTGTGTACCCCAGGTGAAGAAAACCCACAGGAGCAAACAAGTGCAGTGAAGGAGTATCGGGTGGCTGGATACCAGGAGAGACTTTAGAGGGGGGTCATACAGAAGAGTAACCCACCATGAACTATATGTCATTAATCTGAGTGATGGGGCAGCTGTCACCTTGTACTTCAGTAATATCTCAGAATCTTTGTAAAGGAGTTACATAGCATAGGGAAATAACTGACAATAACAGCTAATGATCAGTTCAGATGATCAAAATGGTTAAATTTTAGGAAGGCAGAGAAATGTGCTTCCATTAGAAGTATTTAGCTAGTAAATAGTTAGAAATTAAATTTTGGGTTCTAGAAAACTATCCTATAGTGGTCTGAACATTTTTATTTATCTAGAGGAATAATTCTTCTCTCGTTATAATGTTGAATGAATTAATGTCATTACCATTGTTTCCATTTTCTCCTGTATAGCTGTATAAGCTCCAAGGCAGAATAAAGGCTTAAAAAAAAAGGCATTCCTCTAGTTGAAAAACCCCTGTCACATGTTATGTGCCTAAAACATGGGCTTTCATTTTTACTCACAAAGAAGCCTTCCTCTCCTTCTTAGTTCTACACCAAGTCTGTCCTAGTACTTTTTCATAGCTGCTGGTACCACCCAACTACACTATCAGGAGACAGGTACTGTTGTCCTAGGATTACTACTGGGAAGCAGAATTGTGTGAGCACTGGAGTGAGACACCCACACCTGCTAGATTCATGGCTACTACCAGCTGCTCCTACAACTATGGCCAAGTTACCTAAGCTGGAGTCAGTTTCTTTACTCATCATTTGGGACTGTAAGTAGTACCTATCTCATAGGAATATGAGCATTGAATAAAAGAATACATGTAAAGCATTTGAAACAATGCCTAGAACACATTAAGTGCTCAACTTACTTTTCCACTTAAATATGTATTTCCTTCTTTCTATAAAAAAAAAAAAGATTTCTTTATTTGAAAGGCAGAGTGGGGCCAGAGCTGTGGCATAGTGGGTAAAGCTGCCACCTGCAGTGCCAGCATCCCATATGGGCGCCGGTTCTAGTCCTGCCAGCTCCACTACCGATCCAGCTCTCTGCTATGGCCTGGGAAAGCAGTAGAGGATGGCCCAAGTCCTTGGGCCCCTGCACCCACATGAGAAGACCCGGAGGAAGCTCCTGGCTCTGGCTTCGGATCAGTGCAGCTCCGGCTGTTGTGGCCATCTGGGGAGTGAACCAGAGATGGAAGACCTCTTTCTCTCTCTCTGCCTCTCCTCCTCTCTCTGTAACTCTTTCAAATAAATAAATAAATCTTTTTTTTTTTTTTAAAAAAGGCAGAGTTACAGAGAGAGAGAGAGAGAGGAAGAGACAGAGGAGAGGTATTCTATCCGCTGGTTCACTGCCAAATGGCTGCAATGGCCAGGGCTGGGCCAGGAGCTTCTTCCAGGTCTCCCATGTGGGTGCAGGGACCCAAGCACTTGGACCATCTTCTACTGCCTTCCAGGCACATTAGCAGGGAGCTGGATTAGAAGTGGAGCAGATGGGACTTGAGCCGGTGCCCATACGGGATGCCAGCACTGCAGGCAGTGGCTTTATCTGCTATGCCATAGTACCAGCCCCAAAATATGTTTCTAAGATTCATCCAGTTAAAGTTTATTCATTTTGTTACCATAGTTTTGTAATAGTCATCAGAAATACATGTACAGCCTTTTGCTGTTACCAACATGTACACATATGATGTGCAGTGCAAAAGTGTCTTTAAATAATGTGAGTGCTTGATCCACTTCTGTATCCATCATGACCATATAGGAGTTCCAGTTGCTCTGCGTGCTTCCCAACACTTGATATGGTCAAGCATGCCAATTGGTGGGTGATTTTCATTTCCTGATTACCAATGAAGAGAAGCATCTTTTCACATCTTTTCAGGCCATCTGTGTGTCCTTTTCTGTAAATTTTGGTTTTTTGCCTAGCTGGCCCCTGGGTTGTTTTTTTTTTTTTTTCAATAATTTGAGGGAATTCTTTATATATTCTAGATACTGGTTCATCTTTGCTTTCCCTTTCAAATAGTCCATTGCCCTTTTTGCAATTTAGATCCGTTTTTTTTTTTTTTTTTTTTTTCGGACAGGCAGAGTTAGACAGTGAGAGAGACAGAAGGAGAGAGAGAGAGAAAGGGCTTCCTTTTTCCATTGGTTCACCCCCAAAATGGCCACTACGACCAGCGCGCTGAGCCGATCCGAAGCCAGGAGCCAGGTGCTTCCTCCTAGTCTCCCATGCTGGTGCAGGGCCCAAGCACTTGGGCCTTCCCAGGCCACAGCAGAGAGCTGGACTGGAAAAGGAGCAACCGGGACAGAATCCGGCGCCCCGACCAGGACTAGAACCCGGTGTGCCGGCGCCTCAGGCGGAGGATTAGCCTACTGAGCCACGGTGCCGGCCAAAGATTTTTTTTTTTTTTTTAAGATTTTGTTTGTTTATTTATTTGAGAGTAGAGATACAGACAGTGAGAGGGAGAGACAGAAAGAAAGGTCTTCCATCTGCTGGTTCATTTTCTAAATGGCCGCAATAGCCAGAGCTGAGCCGATCCAGAAGCTTCTTCCTGGTTTCCCACGCAGGTGTAGGGGCCCAAGGACTTGTGCCATCTTCTACTGCTTTCCCAGGCCATAGCAGAGAGCTGGATCAGAAGCGGAGCAGCAGGGCCTAGAACTGGCGCCCATATGGGATGCTGGTGCCGCAGGCGGAGGATTAACCTACTGTACCACAGCACCGGCCCTGATTCTTCCTTTTTTAATATATCCATGTACCTATATGTATATTTATCTTTACTTTTTGTGGGGGGCCACACGGGTGGGTTGGGGTCAGGTCCCTTTCCTCCTCTGCTGGGATATGCTATGTCCACCAGCAGCAGCTGTGGCAGCAGCAGATAAGCTCTAAGTGCTTACTGTGGAGATGGGGAGGAGGACACCCATTGCCACCCTTTCACTAGCCGCAGCCCATGATGTCCTGTCACCCACACATAGGTTATGAGAATAGTGGAATCACAGGCATTTCTGTCTTCCGTATACTTGGATAATTTCTCCATTTTCAATTATAAACATTTTTTAATCAAAAATTCATGTTGAATTTTTTCAAAATGATTTTCACTCCTTGAACTCCATGTATGGCTTTCAGAGATGTTTGATTTCAAACCTGGTAGCAGCAAGAGGTTAAGGAAAATCCTGTTCAGCAGGAAGTAACATTTAGTTCACATCCGCGGTCTGTGCGGTGACAAACAGAGCAGCAGAAGCCAGAAATGCTAAAGCTAACCCCTCACACAAGCCACCTTCCCAGTTCCCACTCCGACTGTGCACGTCGCATTCAGATTCCCTGTATACTCAGAGCGGCTTTCACAGGTAGGTGCTTAGCTAGAGCTCCGACTGCTCACCACGGTAAGGGTATGCAGTCAACCACAGCTGTGGGGTTATGAGCCACACTATCTTACAACCTGCCAACCTTCTGTGCTTACTGCTGGTCCTTGTTTCAGACTCCAGGGGGACAAGAGAAAAGCAAAGAGAAAATGGGCTTGAAGCAAAATCTCCTGCCATCGATCTGATGGGATCCAACAAGGAGCAGATGAGTGAAGCACAGGCGTGGCTCCAGAGGCTGCTGGCCCTGCCGGACCACCAGACCATCGAGAACAACCACATTTTCTACCTTGGGAAAAAGGAACATGACATTTTGGCTCAGCTTCAGAAAGACTTAGGCATCTCCATCTGTGAGATTATCAGTCCTGGAAGGGCATGCTTAGAGATTCAAGGAGCCCAGGCTGGCCTCATCGAGGGGGTCATGAACATCGAACGTGTGCTGTGTCAAGTTCAGGAGGAAATGGCACAGAGAAAGGAGCAAGCCCTCTGGAGCTTATGGGGTGAGTAACTTCCGAGTTAGAACGTCAGCTCTCCCAGCTGTGCCTTTTTAGGGTGTGCGTGTGCATGCATGGATGTGGAAAATAAATAGCAGAGAGGAGAAAGTGAACCGTTCTGGTTATCTATTAGGTCATGAATTTTTTATAGATTTATTTTATTTATTTGAAAGAGTTAGAGAGGTAGAGAGAGAGAGGGAGAGAAAGAGAGAGGTTTTCCATCCGCTGGCTCACTCCCCAGATGGCCACGATGGCTGGAGCTGCACTGATCTGAAGCCAGGAGCCAGGAGCCAGGAGCATCTTCTGAGTCTCCCACATGGGTACAGGGACCCAAGGACTTGGGCCATCTTCTACTGCTTTCCCAGGCCACAGCAGAGAACTGGATCAGAAGAGGAGAAGCCAAGACTAAAACTGGCGCCCATATGGGATGCTGGCGCTTCAGGGCAGGGCTTTAACCCGCTGCACTACAGCACCGGTCCCAGGTCATGCATTTTTAAATTTTATTTTTATTTACTTTAAAGGTAGAGTGACAGAGGAGAGACACAGAGAGAGAGAAACTGGGAGAGAGAGAGAGAGAGAGAGAGAGAGAGAGATCTTCCATCCTCTGGTTCACTCCCCAAACAATCAGGAGCTGGGCCAGGCTGAAGCCAGGACCCAGGAAGTCCATCCAGGACACTCACACAGGTGACAGGGGCCCAAGCACTTGGGCCATATTCTGCTGCCTTCCCAGATGCATTAGCAGGGAGTTGGGGGCCAGTGCTGTGGTGTAGTGGGTAAAGCTGCCGCCTGCAGTGCTGGCATCCCATATGGGCCCCGGTTCAAGTCCCAGTTGCTCCACTTCCGATCCAGTTCTCTGCTATGACCTGGGAAAGCAGTAGAAGACGGCCCAAGTCCTTGGGCTCCTTCACCCACATGGGAGACCCAGAGGAATTTCCTTTCTCCAGGCTTTGGATCGGTGCATCTCCAACCATTGCGGCCAAGTGGGGAGTGAACCAGAGGATGGAAGGTCTCTCTCTCTCTCTCTCTCTCTCTCTGCCTCTCCTTCTCTTTCTGTGTAGCTCTTTCAAATAAAAAAAATAAATCTTAAAAAAAAAAAAGCAGCTGGGACTTGAACCAGTGCTCATATCAGGTGTTGGTGTTACAGGCACATCACTGGCCCCTATATCGTAACTTTTTATATGCTGCTTTCTGGCTCTGTTCCCACCATCAGCATTACTTTAAAAACTTTTTTTTTTAATTTGAAAGGCAGAGTTAGAGAGAGGAAACATACACACACACACACACACACACACACATAGACACTCTTCCATCTGCAGGTTCACTCCTCAAATGGCCCAACAGCCAGGGCTGGTCCAGGCTGAAGCCAGGAGCTTGGAACTCTAGCTGGGTCTCCTACGCTGGTGCAGTAGCCCAAGTACATGGGTCATCTTCCACTGCTTTCCCAGGAGCATTAGCAGGGAGCTGGATCAGAACTGGAATCCAGTGCTCTGATAGGAAATTCCTGCTGGGATGCCAGTGTTGCAGGCTTAACCCGCTGTACCCCAACTCAGGCCTGTTTACTACTCTCCCATCCCTCCCAGTGAGCACTTCGGACAGCAGGGGTGGGTGGACCTTCGGGTTCTCAGTGGCCAGCCACATTCCTGGCCTCTAATCAGAGCTTGGTAAATGCTGGACTCTAATGTACATTTAAATAGAGCTCTAGAAGTCTCTTCCTGGCTTCTGAGCTCCTCTACTAGAGTTCTGTCCCTTCTGATTTCTCAGATTTACAACTTGACTCTCTAGTGAGTTTCTCTGGCTTTGTCACCTTCTTTTCGTGGTCAAACTGAGCCCACTCAATGAGACAATGCCCTGGGGATTCCATCATTTTCGTGTCCTCGGGATAGCAACTGAAAATAGCCCAAGAGAAACCAAGGCTTTTGGGGGCTGGGGACGGGGGAGTGTTTCATTTGTCTGTTTGTGCACTTAGTTCAGTTAAAAGCACCCTGAACAAAACCAGGTTGTCCTCTGAATTTAAAAAACAAGGAGACAAGGAAAGAAAGAAAGGGAAGAGGGAAGGAAGGAGGGAGGGAGGGAGGAAAATCAAGACACCATAGACTCTTATTCTCCAAATTCTGCTCATCTTGGTTGAAGGACGTGTGAGTGATACATGTTCCAAGTATGGTGTCCTGTTTCCTTATAGAATGCACTGGTGAAAGCCAGGTTTACACTCCTAGATCTGTACTTACTAGCTGTGTGATATTGGGCAAATCACTCAGCTTCTCTGAACTCCAATTTCCTTATGGATTATTTCAGTGTTGGTGCTGTAATTATTCCAACAAGGTCGCAGTGTGAAATCTCTGAAAATTTTGAAGTGTTATGTAAACAGTCTTACTGTTTTCCATTATACCTGTCGCCTTTTGCAGGTAGGCATCCTGGCTAGAAACCCCAACATTTCCTATTACATTCTTTTATAATTCTATATCATCATCGCAGCTTTGCTTTTGGAGGACGGCTGTCATTCATGCCTTTATTTTTTTAATCATATCCTCTCCGCCTCAAGATCCAAATCATTCAAAGACAAATTATTTAGCCTCCTATACTATCCTGAAACTCCTTGCAGTATCATAGCTCTCCTTGTGCTGTCCTGGACAACACGAAGCCTGTGAGTCAAACTGGCTCATCTCTTCCTCCAAATTTCTCAAATGTGCTTCATTCAGCGTCTCAACAAACTTTTTCTGTCTCACAGAGCAGTGACACAAAGTTTTGTGTTCCTCCTTTTTAGGACAATGGGCTGGCCAGCAACCAAACATCCAGAAGGAAATGAAAGAAAATATCACATTTCTGAGACATCCGATGCCTTTATCTCAAGACCAAAGGAAAGAGTTTGAAAAATGTGGTTTGCGGGTTTTAAAGGTAGACGTCCTCATGGGCAGGATTTGACCTGCTAGAAACTCACTTGGCTCTGTAGTCAAAAGTGAAGTTCACCAGCATTGTCTAGACTGTTGAGGAACAGTTCTCTTAGTTTTTTTTTTTCATTCCATTCTTTCTTTTTTTTAAGTTTTATTTATTTTACTTGAAGAAGAGAGAGGAGGCCGGCGCTGCAGCTCCATAAGCTAATCCTCCACCTTGCGGCGCCGGCACACCGGGTTCTAGTCCCGGTCGGGGTGCCAGATTCTGTCCCGGTTGTCCCTCTTCCAGGCCAGCTCTCTGCTGTGGCCAGGGAGTGCAGTGGAGGATGGCCCAAGTGCTAGGGCCCTGCACCCCATGAGAGACCAGGATAAGTACCTGGCTCCTGCCTTCGGATCAGCGTGGTGCGCCGGCTGCAGCGCGCCAGCCGTGGCGGCCATTGGAGGGTGAACCAACGGCAAAAGAAGACCTTTCTCTCTGTCTCTCTCTCTCACTGTCCACTCTGCCTGTCAAAAAAAAAAAAAAAAAAAAAAGAGAGAGAGGAGAGGCAGAGAGAGAGGTCTTCCATCCACTGGTTCACTCCCTAGTTGGCTGCAACAGCCGGAACTGTGCCAATCTGAAGCCAGGAGCCAGGAGTTTGGGCCATCTTCTACTGCTTTCCCAAGCCATAGCAGAGAGCTGGATCAGAAGTGGAGCAGCTGGGCCTTGAACCAGTGCCCATATGGGATGCCAGCACTGCAGGTAGCTGCATTACCTGCTACTCCGCAGCGCTGGCCCCTCTTGTGCTTTTTCTTTCTTGGACTAAACAGGAAAGGGAGGAGGAAGGAGTGGGAGTGCGGGTACTATGCAGGAGTGGGTGGGAGGGCGGGTACTATGCTCCTAATGTTGTATTTATGAGATACATACAAATTTTTAAAAAAATAAAGATAAGAGACATTCACCTGCTGATGGCTCTAACTCAGTTGACTGTTGACCTGGATTCCTAGGAGTAAGGCTGGAAGGAGGGCAGGCACGTGGGGTACAGATGGAACCAGAAGGTAGCAGTCATGTTAGGACACATGGGGGCATGGATTTGAGATTCAGGAAACAGCTGTCTGCCCAGCTTTGAGTAAAATAAAAGGCATGGAATAGCACTTTGTACACTGTATTAAAATTGTTTACTTAATACCTCTCACTAACCTGTGAGCTTTAAAGGCAGAAACCCTGTCTATGTTAGTGCCCATTTCATTACCAGTGCCAAGCATATAGTGATTGCTCAGTTTCTTTTAAGCGAATTTATCAAAGGAGGAGCAGAGAGTTTTGAAGAGATAAGAGTCAATCAAGAATAGGATCGGGGCAGGAGAGACTTTAGGCAACTTAATGAGAACCAAACTGCTCCCAAAGTAATGTGCAGGAAGCACCTTCATTTTTGTTGCAGCGTGAGGGGCCACTTCAGTAGCTGCTCTCCAGTCTCTGTCTTTCCCTTGTTTTAGGTGGAGAAGATTGCCAATGCAGTTCTCATGGCTGCCTTCCAAAGAAAGAAGGAAATGATGGAAGAGAGAAAGCACAAGGGCCCTGTGAGCCACAGGTTGTTCCAGCAAGTCCCAAACCAGTTCTGTGATGTGATATGCAGAGTTGGCTTTCACAGAATGTACTCGATGCCCAGCGGTAGGTGTCAGCCCTCTTCCCTTGGGGCTACGCCATGTGTGAGCTGGTGGGCAGGCAGCAGCAGGTGGCTGTTACTAGTAGCATGCTTGGCTGTGGGGAAGGGATCATTTGCATCTGGGATTTAGAGGTGAAGTCTCTTGGAAAGGGTCATCTATTTTGTTGATGGTAGGTTTTACGTTGAGGAATGAGATCCACGGGTCACTGTGTTGCTGAGTCCTATCTGCAGAGAGCACCTTGGGGCTTTTTCTTGTTTTGCTTACTTATCTCAACACACTTACTGTCAACACCACCAGACTATCCTCCTCGTTTAACTAAAAGGGTATTGCCCTAAGTCTTAGAAAGTTGGTCTTTCCTCTTCCTTCCTCCTCATTTCCAGTGGCTACTGGAGAATGAATTCAGTATCTGTCATGGGGGTTGAATAACGTCATGAGATCCTTCTCAGCCATAGGAGTTCTATGTACAGCTTCCTTGATTCTTTTCAGTTGCACAAAAATCTTGCATGCTTCATTGTTGTATTGTCCCCTTTCCTCTTCAGTCACCAGTGAAAACTTATAGTTTTCGACGTCTCCCCAGGAGGCTGAGAACTTCAGCAATAATCTTGCAGGGGTACCTGTGGGTTGCAGCTTCACTTTGCCTGATCCTTTACATATGTGACTCATCTTTGTCTTTCAAAATATGTAACATGAAGCTTGCTGTGCAGCCCATGCAAACAGACTTGGTTTCTAGAAAGCAGTCTGGAAATCATCTATTTTTGTTCTACAGAGAACATAGGCAACAACTGGGGTAGAAATCGAACATAGACAATGGCTGTGGGTATAACTAGTGGATCCCCACTGACAAGTCATTTGAGCAGAACCACGTTAGTAACAGTTAGTATGGTCCCTTTATTACCAAAGTCTTAAAAGTCTGCAACTTCCATTCGCACCTGGACTTTTTTGCAAGCCCCATCCTCTGCCCATACTTAAACTACTCTCGGTAAGATCATCCTTTGTCCTTTTGTTTTCCAAGTCTAGCGAGGACCTTCTTTCCAGTCCTGGGACAGACACTGCTAATTGCCTACCCAACATCTTTCTGAATACATCTTTCTTCCCGAAACATCTAAGACTCACACCATCCTCCCAAGGAACACAATCCCAGAGTCTTACCCAGTCTCATCAGCAGCCACAAGTTCAGGCAGTTCACTCTTAAAGCTTAAAGGCAAGGCATGAGGAGACTTCAAAAATGTTCATGGAAAGTGGAATTAAAAGATGTTTGAAATCCCTGGGTAGGTTTTTTTATACATATTTTCCAAAAAATTTTTGGAGGTATCTATACCAATGGAATATATAATTTGAATATATAATTTTATGAGAAGGAGCAAGAAAAATTCCCTTTCTGAGGGCCTGGCTTTGTGGCATAGCAAGTTAAGCCACCTCTTGCAAATGCAGCCTCTCATATCAGAGTGCTGGCTCAAGTCCCAGCAGCTGCTGTGTTTCCATTCCAGCTCCCTGCTAATGTGCCTGGGAAGGCAGTGGATTATAGCCCAAGTATTTGTGCCTCTGCCATCCAGATGGAGTTCCAGGCTTATGGCTTCGGCCTGGCCCAGCCCCAGCATTGGGGAGTAAACCTGTAAATAGAAGATTTTTTTTTCTCTTTCTCTCTGCCATTCAAATAAATAAAATAAATCTTTAAAACCATGAAATGTGTATAATAAAGAAATTCCCTTTTTAAAAAGATTTATTTATTTGAAAGTCAGAGCCACAGAGAGAGAGGAGAGAGAGAGAAAGAGATCATCCATCCACTGGCTCACTTCCAAGATGGCTACAATTGCTGGGGCTGGGCCAGGACGAAGCCACAAACCAGGAGCTTCTTCCAAATCTCCCATGTGGTTAGCAGGGGCCCAGACACTTGAGCCATTTTCTGCTGCCATTCCCAGGCCATTAGCAGAGAACTGGATTGGAAGTGGAGCAACCGGGACAAGAACCAGCACCCAAAATGGATACTGAGGTTACAAATGGCGGCTTTACCTGCAGTTCACAAGGCCAGCCCCTCAGATTTCCCTTTCTAAAAAGGGAGAAGGAAAACATATAACAGCTCCCAGCCCAAACCACTTGTCATGTGTTGCTGGACAGGAATCATGCAGACTCCATGGTCTAGGAGTAGAGTAAGACCTTTGTTTTGTACTTGGGGAATTTCTTTCTTTATGTATTGAAGCCCTTGGCCTTTTGCACACCCACTGCCCGACGAGGGGCCAGGACTGTCTGATGGGCTAGAATGTTCTCAGGCTGTTGCAGCCAGAATTGTGGTTTCTTCAGCAGGCCTGAGGCTTGTTTGCTTCTGGTGATGTTTATTCTTTAGAACCAAGCAAAGGCCTTGTCTCCATCTCGCATTATGCCTCAAGCTTTTGGTCTCTAGCCTGTTAGCCTCTGTGTCCTGCCCGTTTCCCTGACCCTTAGCTCAACAGCCTCTGCTTTGAGGTAATGCAGACCACAGATGGAGTGAGAAGACCCGCCCATAATGTGACCCGTGCCAGTGACTGCTGAGAACCTCAGCAGACTGCACAGGACAAGGCCAGGAGACACCGGTCTTGTCACCACTGGAGCCGATCTCACTTGGAGTATAAATGCCCTGGGCTTTTTTCAATGCTGAAATGTTCCAGATTAAGAGATCCTGAGCCAATTTACATGGCCACCCACAAGCAGAGGGCCTTGTCTTTCGTTTTCTTTTCCTATCTGTGTTTGCAGTCCAACCGGTTCCGAGTTCATCTCTTGCTGTGGGACTTGGTTGAATACAGCACGAAGGAGCCTGTCTACTTGCGATTTCCTTATTGGGTTTGTTCATTCAGTTAACAAGGATTTTTTAAGCATATTCTGTGAGTCAGGCCCTGTGCCAGATGCTAGAGATACAGCAGTAGTAAAAACACAGTCCCTGCCCTTATAATTTATAATCTCCCAAATCCATCTGTTGCCCAGTCTCTGTAAGTTAAGTGCTTTCCCAAGTTCTGAAAGAAGTGTTTTCCAGTGTCCCCCTGGGTGGTTGCACCTATTCCTGTGGTCTCTACTCCTATCTCTTCGATAGTGACTTACAAACCCCTACCTCTTGCCTGCCGGGCAGGTCTGTATACTCGACTCTCTTTTGGACAGCTATACCACAGGCACTTCAAACAACTCTTTTCTTGGCCTGCTTGCCTGCCTTCCTGCCTGCTTGCCTTCCTTCCTTCCTTCCTTGATTTTATTTATTTGAAAGGCAGAGTAATACACACACACACACACACACACACACACACACACACAGAAAGAGAGAGAGAGATCCTTCATTTGCTGTTTCACTCCAAACATGCCACAACAGCTAGGGCTGAGCCAGGCCAAAGCCAGGAGCCTGGAACTCCATCTGGGTCTCCCACATGGGTGGCAGGGACCCAAATACTTGGGCCATCTTGCTCTGTTTTTCCAGGTACAGTAAAAGGGAGCTGAATCGGAAGTGGAGCAGCTGGGTATCAAATGGGCATTCTGATACGGGATGCTGGCAGTGTAAATGGCAAGTTAACCCACTGTGCCACAACGCCAGCCTCTTGGGCATGCTTTTCCCTAAGGAAAGCCCTTTGCTTTTGGATATTCCCTGTCTACTGCCATCACCATCTACCTACCAGGCCTCCTAAGCCTGAAACATCATTGTAACCCCCCTTCCTCCTTCTCTCACCTTTGTATTTAGGCGGTACCCACAGTCCTCACGATCCAGCCTCATCAAGGTCTTGACCCGTCTTCACTTCTAGCTCCTGTTGCCCAGTTCTTCTTCCCTTTGGCTTAGACTACTATCAGGTTCTTTCCTTGCCTCAAAACACACCCCTGTCTAACCTACCCTTGATCGTCAGAATTATCATGCTAAAAACTGACGTTATAGCTTTTTGCATCTGTAGTCTCAGTTGCCTACAAGGTTAAAAATCCACTCCTTTGCAGAGCACAGAAGGCCCTAGCCCCCACCTTGCTTCCCCAGGCTCATCACCCACTCTGTCCGCTGAGGTTGTGAGGGTTTCCTAAACATGCTGTGTGCTCTCATGCCTGTCTGCCTTTGTGTATGGAATGCCTGCCCTCCTCGCCCTTTGGAGCCACACAAACCCCTATTCTTTCTTCAATACACGTGTCAATGACACCTCCTGATTGGCCCCTTCCCCAGCCCCTACATTCCCAATGAGGTGCTTCTTCCTTTGTGCCCCTGTTCTTCTTCCATTCCTTCGTTACAACAACTGTCACTTTAGCAAGCGCTCTATAGTCCCACAAAACTCAGGTTTAACACTTGTTTTCTTTATGGATCTATCGTTGACCTGGTTCTCATGCTCCCCACTCATGTCCTCAAATGTAGAAGACTCCACCTCACAGCCAGAATTTCAAGGCCATTTTCTCTTCTGTGAATTAAAAATAGCAGTGTGTCACAGATATACACACATACACACATGTATGGTACCATTTATACTATACATTTATATACATAGAGTATTGTTTATCCCATACATTTATAGTGTCAGATATAATTGATTTTGCTCCAAGTATCACCTTCTTGCCTCCAGGTAATCAGTAGCCAGTTCTTCCTGGGTGGAAGAACAAGGAACAGAAGAAACTCTTCAGAAAGAAAATCTGTGATTTTTGTCTCAGAATATTGCTTGCTGGAAACGTTGCCCTGTATCTTACCTGTTCCCGTGCAGGCAGTGCCTCGTATCGGTCAGTCCTGGAGCTTTAGAGGGCACTGTTTGTGTTCAGTATGGTCCCTGCCAGTCAGCTGTGGCTCCTGAGCACGTGACATATGCCTGACCTGAGACTGATGGGTGACATACCTGTATTACAGTCACTTCTCTTCGTCCTCTGTACCTGTGTTAATGTGGCTACTAGGCAATCTGTGTGACTCACGTTGCACCTTTGTTGTTCAGTGTCGCTCTAGAGCCTCAAACAGTGTTTGCTTAGGTCCCATGTAACTACAAAGAGGAAGGGAAGAAATCAGGGAAGAAATGAGAATTTGGCTTTATGAAAAGAAGTGTTACATTTTTTCCCCTCCAAATGATGTTAGAAAGGACATTCCAGGATCGGTGTTGTGGGGCAGCAGGTTAAGCTGTCACTTGGCGATGCTGGCATCCTATATCGGAGGGTCAGTTCTAATCCGGACTCCTCTGATCCAGCTCCTTGCTGATGTGCCTGGGAAGGCAGCAGATGATGGTCCAAGTGCCTGGGCCCCTGCTACTTAAGTGGGAAACCCAGACAGAGTACCTGGCTTTTGATTCTGGCCTGGTCCAGACCTGGCTATTGCAGCCTTTTGGGAAGCAAACCCATGGATGAAAGATTCTCTCTCACTCTCTCTCTCTCTCTTTCTCTCTGTCTCCTCCCTCCCCCTCTTACTCTCCCCTCCCTCTCTCTCTCCCCCTCTGCCTCTCCCAAATCTGTCACTTTGCCTTTCAAATAAAGAAAGGACATTGAACAGGCATTATGTTACCTGGAGGTCTAGAATTTGGTCTTCAGCTTTTTGAGTGTTCTCAATTCTCCAGAAAGAGAATAAAACCACAAGCGATGTGATTCATTTCCTGTGGTGGGACTAGGGCACATCCTCCTGGGTTTCACAGTCCCTCAATGCCTGATGAGTAGGAAATTGCCTGGTGAGCATGAACCTGGATCCAGGCATATGGAGAATCGTGAGGTGTCGTGCCAGGCTGTGATGAGGACTGATGACTCTCTCTGCCCCACAGGACAGAATACTTCCCTACTGACCACAATGTCCGTGCTTCCCAAATCCAAAGTCATTCTTCCTAAACAATGACACAGGCACATTGACATTTTACATGTTCAACATTCTGCCTGTTTTGACAAATTTTTCCCTTGTGGTGCTATCCATGAGTTTGAAGCACACTCTGCCTTTTCTTACTAGATGCTGTTTTCAAGCCACAGTCCAGATTTCTAGAAATATCCCTGGTTGTAACATGCAGAAGTCAGGCAATGTTCTAAGAGAAACAGTTCTAAATGTTCTAATTTCCACTGTGCCCTCTCTATTGGCTTCTTAGTTGATAATGCTAACATGAATTATCTCTTGGAATCTCAGAATTTACATCTTTGAAATAATGATACTATCTAAGTCACAGATTAATTGAACCCGATCAATGTAAAATGATTTGAAAACCATTAACTTCTCTATAAACTGCTATGGTATAGTGAATGTCAGATGTTATTGTGTTGATGATGTCAGTGATAACTTGTCTCAAAGGAACAACTTTGAATGCCTTTGTTATCCACACAGAGACTTGGCATCAAGAGGAGGTGGTTATATAGAAAACTGAAGAGAGAAAATTTACTAATAGCCAAACAGGCAATCTTATTCACAGGATCATAATAACCTTTTTTTTTTTCCTTTTATCAGACCCCAGATATGGAGCTGGTATATACTTCACCAAGAAACTCAAAAACCTTGCAGACAAGATCAAGAGTACCCCTGTCAAAGATAAACTGATCTATATTTTTGAGGCTGAAGTATTGACAGGCTCCTTCTGTGAGGGTCATCGGTCAAATATTGTGCCCTCACCACTGTATCCTGGAACCATAGATAATCACGACAGCGTGGTGGACTCTGTCTCCAACCCTGAAATCTTTGTTATTTTTAGTGGCATACAGGCTATGCCTCTGTATTTGTGGACTTGCACGCAGGATTATGTGCGTTCACAGGATTACTCATCAGGACCAATGGTGTCCTCGTCACAGCAGCCTTGGGAGAAATTCCCAAGTGGCAGCTCTGTTGATTAATCTCCACTTCATTTTAAGAACTGGAAAGGCCTTGATTTCAGGGAACTAACCGAACTGTGACACCATCAATGACTCTAAAAGAGTGGTTTGAATATATCAAATGGGTTATTTGTATGGATTGATTGGTTTTTGAAATAACTGGTCACATACCAACATCTTAGTGCCTGCTTCATTGTCATTGTCTCTCAGGACCTAGTGTGTAGATAGCAACAAAAACAATCTTATGACTCCTCCTCAGGTCTTCTTTCATCTCCTGCAATATCATCATTACAGTAGGTAACAGCAAAAATACCTTATGTCATAAAAAGATTTTTCTAGTTTATAATCCAAGCCTTTGATTTTCTAAACTGATGATAGGATAACATGTTAGGACAACAGAATGATTTTAGATCCTCCAGAGAATCTTATAAAGTGTTCTACATATTAATATAAATCACCTTTGTCCATGTCATTGGCTCTGAAAAATTATGTGCAAGATGAAATCATTTGAAGTGGAAGGACATCGACATCTTGATATTCTGCTTGTATTAAGCCATTTCAAGCAATGCCATCCAAGCACCATGAAACCAAATTATTAACTTGCCAAAAATGTATTGATCACCAGATACACTTCCGTTACTCTCTGGGTGCTGGGGATATGGTGGTGGATGAGACAAATGTCTTCACACACCTTTAGTCCGAGTAATTAGAAGGGCAGCTATGGACATGATAAGTAGAGGATGTGTAATAAAAGAATGACAGAGTCTCTGGGAAAACTGAAGAGGGAGAGTGGCATCAAGGATTGGGGAAAGGCCTCCATGAGAGAGCAACATTCAAGCTGAGGTCAGAGGGTTTAGCGCCAACAGGGAACAGAGACAGAAGAGTGTTTTAGGCAGAGGATTATGAAGGCTGAATCCACTGTGACTGCCCGCATTGACTTCAGATAATCTCACTATGCATGCCTTGCCCGTTTTCAAATCCATACCACTCTGTACTTCTCGACTGTCCTGCCCTTGCGTCTTCGCACCTTCCTTGTCACACCTTAGCTGGTGTTCTCCATCTCGAAAGCAGCATGCTGCTTCCTGTTTCGGATGGTGCTGCTCTTGGATCCTGGACAGGAGAGGCTCACCCTTGGGTCCCTGTTTGGAGAGTTCCCTTGCCATGGGCCTCTTCCTTGAGATGTTCCTATCTAGCCCTCCTCTAGCTGTGCCCATCTTACAAAGTGGGGGATCCCAGGGCCAAAGGAATGGGCCAGCTGGATCTGTGCTCCTCATTCTTAAACCATCCACTGGGTACCCCAAGTCCCCAAAGGTCCTGCTTAAACAGCTCTGAATCTACTTCCAGGGCTTGGTCTGATTCTCTCTCTCTCTCTCTCTCTCTTTTTTTTTTTTTTTTTTTTTTTTTTTTTTTTTTTTTTTGACAGGCAGAGTGGACAGTGAGAGAGAGAGACAGAGAGAAAGGTCTTCCTTTGCTGTTGGTTCACCCTCCAATGGCCTCCGCGGCTGGCACACTGTGGCTGGCGCACCGTGCTGATCTGAAAGCAGGAGCCAGGTGCTTCTCCTGGTCTCCCATGGGGTGCAGGGCCCAAGGACTTGGGCCATCCTCCACTGCACTCCCTGGCCACAGCAGAGAGCTGGCCTGGAAGAGGGGCAACCGGGACAGAATCCGGCACCCCGACCAGGACTAGAACCGGTGTGCCAGCGCTGTGGCTCAATAGGCTAATCCTCCGCCTTGCAGCGCCAGCAGTCTGATCTCTTTCTTGGGTCTCTCGTCTCATCTTGCAAATGGATTATGCCACAGTCAGCATTAATGGCCAAAGGATGAGTGTTTGCAGGGATGAGGCTTGGACATGGGGACTGGGATGTCCACTTGAATGGGCACAAGGCCGGTGGTGTAGAGCTGAGAGTGAAAGGATAGATTTGAAATACCTGGTATATGTTTAATAAAAATTTTAAACAAAAATGGAGGTGAGGCATTTTTCACAAGGATAACTGAAAAATCCATGGGAGTGGATGTTTGGCCCAGCAGTTAAGATGCTGCTTGGCAGAATTCCTGGGTTCAAGTCCTGGCTGTGTTCCTGACTCCAGCATCCTGCTACTGCTGACCCTGGCAGGGCAGTGAGGGATGGCTCGAGTAGTTGGGTTCCTGCCACACAGGTGGGAGACCTGGATTGGGCTCCCAGTTCCTGGCTTCAGGCTGGCCCAGCCCTGGCCTTTGCAGGCATTTGGAGAATGAACCAGAGAATGGGCGTTCTGTCTGTCTGTCTCTGAAATAAATAAAAATTTAAAAGGTAAATAAAAAAGCAGGAAATATAGTGAAACTGTAGTTCACCAAAAGGGTGATTCTGAAGCAGCCAGAGTACAGCCAAATCATCTCTGAAGGAATGACAGCTGACTGACAGTCCTGGGACAGGCACAGTAATGGCTCCTCCTGCCATGCCGATGTCACACCTTGACCTCCCCAACCTGTGAATATGTTGCCTTACATGGCAAAAGGAACTTGTAGATGTCATGGAGGTTACCCTTCAGATAGGAAGATTATTCAGAATTATCAGGGCCCAGGCTAATCACATTTTTTTTAATGTATTTATTTGAAAGAGGTACACAGAGAGAGGGAGAGAGACACAGAGAGATTGATCTTTCATCCACTGGTTCACTCCCCAGGTGGCCACAATGGTCAGGGCTGGGCAAGGCTGAGCCAGGAGCTGCTTCCAGCACTCCCAAGTGGGTGCAGGGGCCCAAGGACCTGGGCCATCTTCTACTGCTTCCCAGGCCATAGCAGAGAGCTGATTCGGAAGTGGAGCAACTGGGACATGAACTGGTGCCCATCTGGGATGCTGGCACTGCAGGCGGCAGTTTTACCTACTATGACACAGTGCCAGCCCCTAATAATCACTTACGTTTTTAAAGGTGGAGAAGATTTTCTTGCTGGGTGAGAGATGGCAGCATGAGAAGGATGTGATGTCCTATGCTGGTTCTGAGATGCAGGAGGCCATGTTCAAGGATCAGGGAGAAGCAACTGGGATCTAAGCAAAGCTCAAGCTGATAATCAGCATGGAAGTGGAGGCCTCAGTCCTGTAACTGCATGGAGCTGAATTCTTCCAGCTCCCGAGTGAGCAAGGCAATGGATTCAAGTACTTCCAGCAAAGAATGAAGCCTGCCAACCAATGCTTTGATATTAGCCCAGGGAGACCTGTGTCTGACTTCTGATCTACAGAACCCATACAACAAATTTCTGCTCTTTTCATCCACTAAAGTGGTGGTAATTTGTTATGGCTTTAACAAGAAACAAACCTACAGCAACAATGGAAGCCTGAAGACATATTTTCAAAGGGTTGAGAGAAATTCAGGGCTGGCGCCGCGGCTCACTAGGCTAATCCTCCGCCTTGCGGCGCCAGGACACCGGGTTCTAGTCCTGGTTGGGGCACCGGATTCTGTCCCGGTTGCCCCTCTTCCAGGCCAGCCCTCTGCTGTGGCCAGGGAGTGCAGTGGAGGATGGCCCAGGAGACCAGGAGAAGCACCTGGCTCCTGCCATCGGATCAGCGCGGTGCGCCGGCCACAGTGCACCGGCCGCGACGGCCATTGGAGGGTGAACCAATGGCAAAGGAAGACCTTTCTCTCTGTCTCTCTCTCTCACTGTCCACTCTGCCTGTCAAAAAAAAAAAAAAAAGAGAGAAATTTAGTCTAAAATTTCATAATTAGCAAGCTTTTATTTTGCCTTAATTTTTGAATGAAGACACTCTTAGTATAGTAAAAACTGAGTTTACCAACAATAAACTCCCACTTAAGGGGATTTAAAATTTAAGTGTTTTTTTTATTTATTTATTTGAATAGCGGGCAGGGAAGGAGGGAGGGTGGAGAGTGAAGGGGGAGGGAGGGAGGGAGAGAGAGAGAATTCTCTTCCATTGGCTGTTTTGTTCCACTATGGCCACTGCAGCTAGGGCTGGACCAGGCTGAAACCAGGAACCAGGAACTCTATCAGGGTCTCCTCTCTGGGTGACAGGAACTCAAGTACTTGGGCCATGGTTTGCTTCCTCCCAGGTGCTTTAACAGGGAGCTGCATCCAAAGCAATACTCTGATATGGGATGCCAGTGTCACATGAGGTGGCTTAACATGATGTGCCACAACGCCTGTCCCAGAACTTAGAAAATTTAAAGGTTGTTCTTCAGAAAGGCAGGGAAAGAACCAAACCAAAATCTAAGCTGCAAGAAGGCATGTTGGTAAAAGAAAAAAAAAAGTAAATATGGGAGCTTACGTTGTGGTGTAGCAGGTGAAGCCACTGTGTGTGATGCCAGCATCCCCTATGGGCAGAGTTTGAGTCCCAGCTTCTCCGCTTCCAATCTAGCTCCCTGCTAGTGTGCCTGGGAAGGCACAGAAGATGGCCCAAGTACTTGGGCCCCTACACCCACATGGGAGACATGGGTGGAGTTCCTGGCTTCTGCCTGGCTCAAACTTGCTGTTTTGGCCATTTGGGGAGTGAACCAGTAAATGGAAGATCTTTGTATTTGTATCTCTTCCTCACTCTCTGATGCTCTTTCAAATAAATAAATAGTCTTACAAAATAAAATATGTATTAAAAAGAAAGGTAAATATGGATACATCTAAACCATAATTGTCTTTGTGAAGCAACAAATAACAATGTCTAACTTGGGAAATAAAATAAGACCAAATATAATTCTGAAAAATAAACTTTGTAAGATGGTGGAATGGTGGTTACAGTTAAGTGTTTTGGAGTCATATTACACAAGAGAAAACTAGAAATATTAAATTTATTAAACAGACTAACATCTAAAGGCAGCATATAACTTCCAAATAACAGTACAAAAAATAGAATTTAAAAGATTTGCCCGGTTGCCCCTCTTCCAGGCCAGCCCTCTGCTGTGGCCAGGGAGTGCAGTGGAGGATGGCCCAGGTGCTTGGGCCCTGCACCCCATGGGAGACCAGGAAAAGCACCTGGATCCTGGCTCCTGCCATCGGATCAGCGTGGTGCGCCGGCCGCAGCGCGCCGGCCGCAGCGCGCCGGCCGCGGCGGCCATTGGAGGGTGAACCAACGGCAAAAGGAAGACCTTTCTCTCTGTCTCTCTCTCTCACTGTCCACTCTGCCTGTCAAAAAAAAAAAAAAAAAAAAAAAAAAAAAAAAAAAAAAGATTTGAAAAAAGAAAAAAGCAGGGGCA